AGATCTCACCTCGTGGAGTTGCAATGATCATGAGAACGGTGAGGAATCAGCCCAGAAATACACGGGAGGATCTTGTCAATGATCTCAAGGCAGCTGGGACTATAGTCACCAAGAAAACAATTGGTAACACACTGCGCCGTGAAGGACTGAAATCCGCAAGGTCCCCCTGCTCAAGAAAGCACATATACATGCCCGTCTGAAGTTTGCCAATGAACATCTGAATGATTCAGAGGACAACTGGGTGAAAGTGTTGTGGTCAGATGAGACCAAAATGGAGCTCTTTGGCATCAACTCGCCGTGTTTGTAGGAGGAGGAATGCTGCCTATGACCCCAAGAACACCATCCCCACCGTCAAACATGGAGGTGGAAACATTATTCTTTGGGGGTGTTTTCTGCTAAGGGGACAGGACAACTTCACCGCATCAAATGGACGATGGACAGGGCCATGTACCGTCAAATCTTGGGTGAGAACCTCCTTCCCTCAGCCAGGGCATTGAAAATGGGTCGTGGATGGGTATTCCAGCATGACAATGACCCAAAACACACGGCCAAGGCAACAAAGGAGTGGCTCAAGAAGAAGCACATTAAGGTCCTGGAGTTGCCTAGCCAGTCTCCAGACCTTAATCCCATAGAAAATCTGTGGAGGGAGCTTAAGGTTCGAGTTGTCAAACGTCAGCCTCGAAACCTTAATGACTTGGAGAAGATCTGCAAAGAGGACTGAGATAAAATCCCTCCTGAGATGTGTGCAAACCTGGTGGCCAACTACAAGAAACGTCTGACCTCTGTGATTGCCAACAAGGGTTTCTGCCACCAAGTACTAAGTCATGTTTTGCAGAGGGGTCAAATACTTATTTCCCTCATTAAAATGCAAATCAATTCATAACATTTTTGACATGCGTTTTTCTGGATTTTTTTGTTGTTATTCTGTCTCTCTGTTCAAATAAACCTACCATTAAAATTATAGACTGATCATTTCTTTGTCAGTGGGCAAACGTACAAAATCATCAGGGGATAAAATACTTTTTCCCCCTCACGTATATGCAATACATGCAATGAAGACAAACGTACTTTTTTGCATTAAAGCACTGGTGGTCGTGCATAAGCACAAATAACAAAAGCTCAAGATATTCGTCAATAACCCCATAATAGGAAGTAATACGTTTAATGAGAAATGTCTATATGCAATGGCCCATCACATTTTCACCCATCTAAATGTCTTGAGAAATGTACTTCACAACATGCCCCTTATTCCAATTGGCCGCCTTGAAGGCAGCAACCTTATTCTGGGCACCATGGCAACAAACCACATCCGCACACACGAATCTGGAGACGCTAAACACCAGCTGAGCTGGTCGGCACACAAGCCGCATCATGCTACCCGAGTTGAGACCCTCCAGCATCTGTCAACAAACACTCACGGTCGTACCTGTAGTACTACTGCGTAGGTTTTCGCGGTCGTGCTATATACAGTTGTGAGATCGACGATGCTCTCTCCACAGCTCTAAGATGTGCATTTTAAGGTTGTAGCACATGGTGTGCGGCACGATGTCCGACGTTTCACTGGAGCTTCACAGTGAACACGCGCTCCAAGCAGAAAAACACACGCGCAGCAATTAAACAGACGCTGCAGAGAACCGCGACACTGTATTCTGATTAACCTTGCTGCAGCGCAGGGCCCCAGGAATACGATGTCCTCCAGTTAAGGAGTGTCATGACAGTCTAATGAGATTTGAGGATTTATCATCTGTTACCCGCTCGATGCGAGGTGGGCGTTAAACGCCCTGTGGCGGCATTTACAAAAGAGAGAGCAGGAAAAGTTGCATAAACGTCGTAACTCAAATGTCTCGGAAATTGTATAAAACAAAACACCATTGATAATGTCTCTCCTTACGGACAGCCAACCCCCTTGACAGGTGACCATGGAAACCAAACCATTACGGACAGAAAAAAATAACGCACATTGATTCAACACGATATTATTACCAACCAGACCTCGAGCACAAAAATAATAAATATCATTGAGCTCTCGTGAAGTCAAATGAAAGTCACTCGTAAATAAGCCTTGCAAACAAAATGGGACCTTTTTGCCAGTACCAAAGTGCGAAAAAATAAGAATAGGTGTTACCATTTCAGGCAATAAAATAAAATAATATTTTTATTATTTTATTTCCCTTATACGTGACTTTACCGAAAGAACCAAGAATATGAATCCCTGCAGTCACGAAAGCTTTAAATAAAAATGTAGGTGTTAAGATGTTCAAACACCAAACAGAAACATTTTGCAAGGAATCAAGTCTGCCTTGCAAAGTTTGTGAAATAAATTACAAAAGGGCCATTCGTGAATAAAGGATCCAGACTTTTTCTGGATGGTCGCTACATTTTTGGAATGTTTCACCAATTCCACAAGTAATGTTTTACTGGAATTCTTAAACGAAACAAGCTGTGAGCTTGCAAAAATAGAACAATTGAACCTCATGGCGGGACCCCGGAGTCCCATAAGTCCTCGGCTCTCGCATGAACTGTGTTGTGACGTCATTTTATGTCGACGAGCTGTACACGATGCGCGAATCAAAGTTTCAAAGTTTTGTTTCTTCTGCGCATTAGTCCTCGCTGCGCTTGGACGACATGACAACAGAATGATCCGCGCCAGGTGGGTCGGGGCGTTTATGTGCGCGGTGGGACGGAGTCGCCAAAAGTAAATTAATTCATTATGATTTTGACTTCCGTTTATTCGGGACCCCGGGATCCCGCCATAAGTTTCAAGTACTGAAAGAAATGTTTCCCTTTGCTAAAATAAGCCGCCGCCCCCCCCCGCCCCCCGAGACTAAGAAATCCAATGCAAATGTTTTACGTTAAAACACACCAGAGGTATCAAAGAAAACGTTTAAAAACACACAGTGTATTTACTTTCTTGTCTAAGTATGAAAAGGTAGAAGTAAAACTCTGAATACACCACGCTGTCAAGTGCAGTCACAATTTGTACGTCAGGCAACCTCGCCACACTACCATAAAGTCCACAAAGACATTAATGTTACACCGTTAATTGATTCTCACATGGTATGAAGGCCATACAAGAATTTTACTATAACAGGGAAGTGCTCTAAACGGAAGGTAAATAATTTTCACACCGTTTAAAAATAAATAAATTAATGCAAACCGACACACCTGATGACGACCGTTTGTGTTATGGTCGAAACGTCGTAAGAATTTTTATTGTTTTATATATTTTTTATTATTTTATTGTTTCCCTTCAACGTGACTTTACCGAAAGAGCTAAGAATAGGAAGGTAAAGAAGTTCAGTTTCTTTCTTATATATAAAATAAATTAGTAATGCGGCTATCTAAAGGACAGTACATATATTTAGTAGTTTATAGAGCTTAAAATATAAGGCTAAGAAGTGTAGCTAAGCATATATTACATAACTAAAGGATTCACAGCAATGCCACTTGAATGGGTTAATGTTTCAGTTGCGTTCCGCAAATAAAATCGATTACGTAACAAGTGCTTTAATGCAGAAAGGAAATAATGGCCCGATTGGGCCATTATTCAAATGGATGTGGTACGTGCATTACACTTTTATCAATACACTGCTGGATAAGGGCCTCCCCTGCAGTGTGAGTCTCGGCGGTTATTTAGCAATACTCCACCATGGTGGCCAGTGTGGGCTGGTGAAGGTGGGTAGCATAGATGTGTAAGCATAAAAGTCTGAATCTTGACTTAAAGCTTTCGTGACTGCAGGAATTCAAATTCTTTGGGTCTTTCGGTAAAGTCACGTGGATAGGTTCAAAGAAAATAACAAAAAATAATTTTAAAAACTACGACGTTTCGATCGCAACGCAGGCGTTCGTCATCAGAGAGAAAAAACGAACGCCTGCGTTGCGATCGAAACGTCGTAGTTTTAAAAATTATTTTTTGTTATTTTCTTTGAACCTATCCACGTGACTTTACCGAAAGACCCAAAGAACATAAAAGCCTGTCCAAGTACAGCACAACAATGGATTTTGCTGCACTGTCCTTTGCCAAGATGAAGGTTCCCAAATAAATCGTCTCCCTGTTAAAATGAGCAATGTGGTCATGCATATCTATGCTGGCACCACTTGAGTCCATGATATGTCCACGTTCCCATGGCGGGGGTCAGTTTATACACCGGCATTTCACACCAAGTGGCAATCAATTGTGTCAACCCTGCTCAAATTACTTAAACTTTGTAAAAGCTCCCATGGCGAGTTATGCATTGCAACCACAACGGCAATGCATGGTGAATAAAGAAGGTCAACGCACCACAAGAGTACAGGGTCAATCAAATATATTCCACTTTGAGATGAGCCCTATGAAGCTCTGGATCAGGGCCACCAAATGAATACGGACATACTAACTTATTAACTTTTACATAATACAGAGGTGTCAATAAAGCTTCACCAATAATTATTTAAGAATTATGATACAGCTGTCTTGACCTGGATGATTATAATCTTGGCAATATATTCCTTATACAATTCAGTTTTCGTTGCCAGAAAGTTTGAGTGGTCTTCACCTGCGCATAACAGAAGCATCTGCACGCAATCACCGCCGAGAAGTTGGCGAACACCCGAAGCTCTAAAATCGATATGATGCGTGTCACCAATGCCATGGAGGACATTTAGAAATTTAGAAGGATAAAACTCGTATGATAAAATATTCATACGACTGTATAGTGTTATCGACCAGGCTCAACATTCTGCCAAATTATAATCCTCTAATAATAAATGATAAAATATCAGTCACCCTGCACATGTAAAGGGTTATACGAAAAAATAACAGACCACACTGCTGATGCGATTTAAAAAGTCAAGACCGATGGAGAATGTCTGCTTTAACGCTGTCGGAAAAAACTGCTCAGGAAAGGCTTTATATGCCGACGAAACTAAATGCAGTTTTTGTTGTAACATTGCTGCAATAGACCCACGTCTGTTTGTGATGTTTTGACATGCGTCAGTTGTGCAGCGTGTGTGTCACCTACCTGTGTCCTGGCGGAACTGGCACATGGACTGCAGATCGATGATGTAGGCGGCGAGGAGAGGCTCAGCCTGACCGAGCACCACGCTGCCACCCCCACGGGTGCTTCCTCCTCCACCACCTCCTGCACCGATGCCGGCAAAAAAAAAACACGACCATCATTATTACCATTACCTCCACAGCCACCACTTTACCATCATTAAATTCGCCACCGCAACCATCTACTCCATCACAACCATGACCACCACCACCAAACCGCCACCAGTCATTATCACCTCGATGTGTCTGCAAATACCCTACACCACCTCCCCCCACTCCCATCATCACCACCAGCACTCTCTGCAATCACAACCATAATCGCAATGCCCCCCCCCACCACTTCATAGATTCTTCTCATTACCGCCACCCTCGATTAAGACGAACTCCATCTCCACCACCACCAATCCTCGGCTCATCCATCATTCACTTCCCCCCTCACTCCAATGTGCCTGCACACGCCACCAACAATCTCCACGACCAATATCGCCTCCACCAACCCCAACCAATCATCGCCTCCTCCACCAACTCCACTGTCACCGCCGCAACCATCATGACCCCCCCCTCTCAAATTAACTACTAGGCGAGGCGCGATCGCCGCCTTGATATGCTTGCACAATCGGCTACCGTAGAGCCTTAACAGAATGTTGGGCCAAGTGAAGTTAGCGAGCACCTATTAAGGGGTTGGGATGGGTGGCCAGCATCATGCCCGGCCAACTTTTTGTCTCTCGACGGGCGATGTTTACACACCGTACCAGGTACTCATTTGAGGCCCAGCCGACTCAGGGGAGGCCCGGGATCGGATCAGATAATCGTCAAGAGTTGGCCGTGAGCGGGGATCGAACTCGTGTCGCCAGGTTCGTAGCGTTGCGCGCTACATTATCGCTTCCCACATCATCACCCACCAGCCTCAAATGTCACGACCACCACTCCCACCGCCATAACCATCACAGTACGACCTCCAACACCACTACCACGAACAACCATCCTCTAAACCCTTCATCACCAACCACCACAATCATCAACCACCACCACAACCACAACAAAAAAAACACCACCTCCACGACAATCGCCACGTCTACCACCACATCCCCCCACCATCCCTCAAAACCCACCCTAAAAGGCAACGGCGTCTCCCCCCCCACCACCCCCTCAACGTTACCTGCCCCGCGGGTCCCGATAGCCGTCTCGATGTGCCTGCACACGCGGGAGCTGTACGGCCTCCAGCGCTGCTGCTCGCTCAGCCACTCCCACACGACGACTAAGCCCGAGCCAGCCGGCGGAGGTGGCAGCACCACGGCCCCCGCCGCCCCCGCCGCCATCATATATTACCGTGCGTCAATGCTGTAAATACAATTCTTGTGATTGCTAGCTTATGTGTGTATTTATTTGTGTGTATATTGTAAGTTGTAAACAGAGGCGATGACGAAGACAATCGGCGGCAGCAGCAGCAGCAAGTGCGACCTCCGCCTGCTGTTGTCCTCGTCCCTCTGGCAGCTCGCGCGTGACACTTCCGCTCTAGGCCGCGGCCCACTTCCGCTCTATGCCACGCCCGCGCGGTGATGGGCTCCGGTCTTGCGATTGGTCAACACGTTGTTTGGGGGGGGGGGTGATTGGGGAGGGGTTGCGGAGGGTGGTTTGGGGGGTGGAGGAGGGTGGTTGGGGGGTGATGGGGGGGGGGGTTTGGGGGGCGGTTGGGGGGGTGATCGGGGGGGGGGTTGGGGGGGCGGTTGGGGAGGGAGCGGTGGCACAGTGGTTAGCGTGGCTGCACTCACCATCAATCAAAGCCGGCGATTCCAAAGTTCGATTCGGGCTCAGGGCCAACATCAGTGACCGGTGTGGCGTCGCGACCTGTACATTATCGGCTAGGGGGGGGGGGCGGGTTGCGGCAATCGGTGAGGTGGGGCCCCCCAATATTTAATTTGTATCGCACGGGAGTACCTTGGCTATTACATAGCGCGGCTCCTCTTGCCCTCATCACATAACTATCGTGAAGTTTTATTTTTTTACACCGTTGGTGGAAACGTATCTCATGGGTGGTTGTCAAGGGGGCCCCAACTCGTAGCTTTGACAACCAGGGGGGGGGGGCCCAGGCGCCCCCTTGCCCCCACGCTAGTTACGCTACCGTCAGTGACGATTATCCGAACCGGTCCTGGGCCTCCCTTAGGTCAACCCAGCCTCAAATTAGTACCTGGTGCCATGCACGTGTAGGTTTAACTGTCAAAATAAATTGTAAAAGTGTACGCGTTCAGATAATTAAGAACAGGTGGGCCGTACGGTACTGGATAGATAAGAAGTTCGTTAAATAATGCAGGCGTTGAGATTATTGGGAACAGCTGGCCCGTGGGGCGCCGTTGCAGGGGATGCAGAGAAATGTCCACGTTGAGATAATTAAAGGCACGTGCCACAGTCAGGGTGGAGGACACTGTCCAATTTATGTCGGCCTTAGAGGGTAGATAAGCCGGAGCGAGGCCCGCAGTCTGGCCGCTTGCCCGGAGACCAGCAACTAGACGTCGGGGCTGACTGTCCGTGGAGCTGTGTCGACATTATTACTTTAGATATAAAGACGTCTACAAGGAGTTGCTTATACACATGCATGCTGAACTTCGATGTGAAAAGAACACGTCGCCACTGGGGGAGATAAAGGCGGCCGGGCGTGGTATTGGCCACCCCTCCCCCCCACCACCCTCTCGTGTGCCCGTGCCAGACTTCATAGGTGATACTCGCTTAGACAGCACTTGCCCTTAAAGTCTGTTGAGCCTATACGTGGGACCTTTGTCTTTGGGGAAAGGGGTCAAGGGTAGCGGTGGTGGGGGGGGGGGTAAGGGGCGGAGCTACAAGGGGTGTGGGTGGGGCCAGGTAACCAGCCCCCCCACCACCAGACAGCTGGTTACGTCATCGGTCACGATTTGCTTGGCGCAGTGATCACGAGAGATCGGCCTCTATTGAGGGAGGTTCGTGAAGGACGCTACATCCATAATACTGAGGTTTTTTATTTGGCTTAGATCGCCTGTGTCATTAAACCCGCCACCACCCGACACGGCCAATTGGTAAGGTTTGTCACGTTAACAGAACATGCAGATTCGTTACTAGTACAGCAACACCGGTTGTGTGTTGGAGAGCAAATCCACATTTACTTGTGGATTACTTTTAGAACTCCCCACCCACCTTGCTCAGATCTGGCTGTCCGCCTGATGGTGCTAGTTGTAATTACTGGCGAAACGTCGTACTCGGGATTGTAAATGTTGTGGATTTCCTCTCCCAACACACAACCGATGTGCCGTACTCGTAACGAATTGGCAGGTTCTGTTTACGTGACTATTGATCGCGAAAGCCTACGTGTTAAAAAAATAAAAGGTCGCTACAGTTGAAAATGCGCCCCCCCCCCGCCCTCCTCCCCAACTTGACAAGGAGCGACGCTCACAACAACGAGCGGAGCGCCGGGCGGCCTAAAAATGCAGCAAGTTGACACAGTTTGGAGCACCGCTGGTGTGCATCTTGTCAGCAATCTCGGTCAATCAATGACAACCACGTGGGTCCGTCCAGTGATCTCCCGTCAGCAGCGAGCCTTCGGACACTGCACGTGGCCTTAAAAAGTGAACCCAGCCTGGCGCAGGCGCCGCAGTGAGGTGACCGTCACTTCGGTGGCGAATTGGAGGGTGTTGTTGCCGAGAGATTAATCAATTACAATTATAGATTCCATTCGCTAGCAATAAAAGGAACGCTTCGCGCGTCTGACAATCGGCCGTTTCCATTCGACGTCTGTTCGCATAGGTCGCCGGGTTCACTTCAGGTTCAATTTCCCGGCGCCGCAGTTGAAACAAGTGAGCACGTTTCTCCACCCGGCAGTATAAATGGGTAACACGAAAGGTAAGTTGCTCGACAGCTCGTGTGGTTGGGTAAAGTGTGGGTAACTGCCACCTTCCAAGACTTCGCGTTGTTGAGGCGCTTTCAGCCAGCAGCGGCGCAAGCAATTGCAGGGCTGCGCCTTTGCCTCAATTGTCCAATTTATTTGAAAATTCGCTTCAACGAAGCGTACAACAAAATAAAAATTAATCGCTTACGGTGCAATTATATAATAGGGTAAATTCATGCACCACATGCCTCCTTAACGCAGACGTTAACGGGGAACTAGCGGCGTCTAATCAGCAGAGGTCACATTCCATCGAGATGCTCATTACCCGCTCCTCCAACTCGGGAGACTTTTGTGCAATTAACCCAAGAGAGAGAGCAACTTTGTTTTTTTTAATACTCTGGATGGACGGGCAAAATGGACGGCTAGACAATGTACGGACGGCTGAGCGGACAGACAGCCGGACAGACAGAATGGACAGACGCTTTGTTGGACGCAAGGTTGGACAGATCGAATGGACGGAGTTGGACAGTCACATTCAAACACCGTGCGGGTTTGCTAGTTATATGTTTATGATACATATCTGAAGTTTAATTTGCAACACTTTCTCAGCAAGAGGGAGTTTGTTTTTAAATCACCAATTATATATCCAACTGTGCCCATGACCATGGGTGATGCTGGCCCTTTGGGGGCCTGAAGCCGAATATATTTTTTTATGGAGAACATCCTTAAGTTATACAATCACCGTGTGATTAACATAAGAGATCGAGAAATACATGGAGAAATGTAAACGAAGAGAACTGTAGTGAGGTGAGAAATTATGTTGACAATAGAGACGAGCAATGCATTGGCTTAAGTTAATTAGTTAATGTTCATTAGGATTGAATTTTCAGCTGACATTTTGCCATATTCCCATTTTTTTTATTCCGGGGCACCTTGACTTACTTGGGGACCTAAGCTTTTGCTTGGTTTACTTACGACGCGCATCATCGCTGCCAACGATTTCACATCAAGATACGACAATTCCACGCGTGATATCCGAGCCACTGTTGGGGCCCCATATTCCCCAACCCACATTGGTCACGCAGCTTTGGGGAGGCCTTCATCCAGTTGTGGATTGATAACGGCTGTAGACCCATTCATTAAAAAATTTATCAAACCAATGCTGGACTCCGAGGTCGTAACACTTAAGGCTTTCATTGGTAAACAAAGAACAACACTTTGCTTGCAATATCAACCAAACTGCCTTTTAATTTAAGAACACAGCACTTAGTAGATTTTGTACAAGGTACTCGTACATAAATGATTACAATATCTTACAATCGTATGAGCATTTCACACCCATCGCTTACATCCCATCACCGATGGAATTCCGTACTTGCGAAATATAGACAGCAGAGGGCTGTACAACAAAATCCATTGTTGCACTGTACCTCTATGCTCCAGCATCTATTCTTCCCGTCGCAAATGGTCAAATAACCCCCCCCCACGACCTGCATGGCGTGGGGAGAGACTTTGACCATAAGTGAATTGAAACTGCGCTGCACATGTCCTCAATCGTGCTTCTCATAAAAAAATATACATGAAAATACAAGAGGGCAGTTTCCAAGCTCTAAAATGCTGAAGGTTTTCCAACACGTTGAGCGAGAAAGGTCCACCGGACGCAAACTGAAATCAGCGTGCGTCATCAATGCGCCGTTTTACTTTACCGACACCTTTTTCAACCAGGCTAAACTGACACCTGCAAAGCAGTTTTGGAGGCGATTATCCACACAGTAACTACCATGTACAGGCATACCTCTGTGAACAAAGTAGATGCGTTCCGTGACGTCACTTTTCCGTCAGAAACTTTGTTACCAGAGGTAGACGAAGCATTTTCATTTCCAAACACGTGGATTTATGCCGTACTGCCCACTAGCAACTAGACGGTCGTTTGGATGACATAATGGGGGTATAAATAAAGTGACCTTATCAACTGCGGAAACACAAAATGTTACCGACACGACGAGCTCCAGCAATGGCAGATGGAAGACGGGCGAAATGCGCTGCTGGTTGGGCCATGGTGGCGAGACGTAAACAACCTCGCCTGGTATGCAGGTCGTGGGGGGTTCCATCCAGACCCTCACACCTGTATAATTGGGAGTTTGCGCGTTCTTTCCGTGGTCGCGTGGTTTTTTTTTTTTTTCCTCCGGGTCCTCCGGTTTTTCGCTCCACATTTTAGAACCAATGTGTGGTGTTGAGAGTATTTGGCTGCAAAACATTTCCACATGATAAGCCACATCGTTGAGCAATCGTTTGTGGCCAGGTCGCTTCTGAAAAAGAGCTATAGAGCTCATTGGGCCTTACCTGGTAAAATAAACTATAGCTTCGTTTTTTTTCGTTAGTCTGAGAAAAGACTCGCAGAGCTCTTCAACGATTGGCTGCTAATAATGTAAACAAACTCCACTCTATAGTGTTTACAGGGCACGCAAAGAGGTAAAAAAATGTTAGGTCTTTAGAATGGCTTCGCAAAATTTATATACTTTGTTTTTCGAATTTAAGAGAGGCAAATCGCAAGCAGACTTCATTATAAAAGCTTTGTTCCCAGAAGATTCGGTACAGTTCTGTTACTGTACAATGACTGACCACAGAAACTATCATGTACTGAGTCCAAACGTGTTTGTTCTGTAAGAGGCCCTCAGTCACACAAGTGACTGAAGCACACTTAATTTATGAAGCCATTGTTGGCAGCTCAAAATTATTCTAGAGGTCTTTAGTACCGTAGTACTGCCGAGAGATGCTTGCAGTGCCAAAGAAAGTTTGTGGGCAGCACTCAAGCGGAAGGGCCTCATGTGACCTGGAGGCCAAAAATGAACACCCTTGTAGGTTCCCCTCCCCTACTTTACCATCTCATAAGCAGGCTGTACCCAGTTTACTTCCCTATTCGGCCGAGTCTAATGACAGCCATTCTCATCACGGTCCCCTTCTTTCCATCTGCAGGTCGTCAGGCCAGATAAAACGAAGTCACGGGGCGCGCGTCTAGCCCGTGAGCCACACGTTCCACCCCCTGCTCAACAGTCGCGTCCAGCAGGCCCCGTCACCAATTCGATTTTTTTTATTTGGCCGATTTCTCACGATGGGCCGTCTCTGTGTCACGGTCCCTTCACTCCATCTCGTCCTCGTGGGCGTCCTCGCGCTGGGAGACACGCTCTGCCTCCCGCCCGGGCTCCCACGGCGCTGGCTGCGGAACGTGCGTGTCGTAGGACCAGGGCGGGAACACTCGCTTGTACAGGTTCATGAGCACCGTGTCCTGCGACTTGAGCTGCCCGTCAAAAACGCACTTCATGTGGCCGTGTGTGCCTGCGGTGAGGAACAGATGGGGTGGGGTGGGGTGGGGAGGGGGGGCGCACCAGCCATGAGGATTCGCCAGCCCAATTTATTTTAATCCAGTCAACAATCACAAGTGTATGAAAATCACGATGTGGGACAGTTAAGAGGCACCTCAGCTTTATTATGACCAGGCGAGACTGACTCATCCGAGTTGCAGACGCAGACCAAGATAATTCATAATCGTTACAAAGAGAATGCAGATAGATTCACCAATTGGATGCACACCCCTTACACCAACTAAGAGTAGACTACATTTGTGACTGCTTGAGCTAAGAGAATGAGTCAATTAAATCCAGAGACTAAGACTTAATTCAAATTACAAAGGTTGCCGTGAACTTCGTATAAAATAAAAAATACCGACGAAGATTCATACCAGAGTTAGCGTTAAACAAGGCTGCTAGTGCAGGGGAGACATGGGTCGTTGCTCCCGAGACCATTAGCATTATCATTTGAATTACCAATAGCTTGTTCACATTAATCTCGGACAAAGTGAAATGAATTGTAATCCAATGTCAATGTCTTAGTTTAGATTTGGTGGCATTCGGTGACCCCCTCTGGACTCTTTGAACCCCAAAGTCGTGGAAGGCTGTTCTTGTCCTCCACCACACGAGGCGTGCAATTTGTGATTCATCTTACCCAGGGGTTCCTTGATGTGACCTCTACGCCCCCACTTCGTCCTCAGCTCCACCGGCTTGAACCACATGATGTCCTCTGCGGCGAGAGGGGGCACGAAACGCGTCACCGGGTTAGACTCTCCCACGCCACGGCTCATCAAGACAATGCAAGTACCGCCACGCCGAACACACGGTGGGGCAGGGAGAAGGGGTGGTGTAGAGATCAACACGGCTGCATTTGGCACACAGCGAGCGCTTCCACGGTGTCGGACGTACGTCTCGGACACCGCAAACAAGCAGGTTCCGTGCCTACGACCAAATCACCCAGGGCGTGAACTAACGCACCAGCAGTGTCGTTGGTGAGCACCCACCTCTGGTGAAGAACATGTATCGCAGTGTGGCGACTTTCTTGTTGATCTTGAACGGGTGGCCGCTGAGAACCAAACGCTTCACCACCACGCGGTTAGGGTCCGGCTTCAGCAGCGAGCCCGTCGCCAGCAGCTCCTGAGAACCTGCACATGCAGGGGGACACAAGCGTGTACGAGCAACTTTAACTTAAGTGTAATCGGACGAGAGAGTGCATTCGCTGTGGTGCGGTAACCCATACATCCGGGGGGGGGGGGCACAGGAACATTCGTTTATGAAAACATCTGGGTGAAGCAAAATTAATTTAATAAAACCGTACAAATATTCTCGTGTGGTCACTTAATGGCTGGGGCCAGGATAACAATGACCTTGTCTGAGGTCATGGTGACACCCCAAATGTATAAACAGAAGCCCAGTCCTAGGGCTTGAGCTCTTGATAACAAGTGCCGGCTCAGTGCTTTCGACAAGGCAATTATGCGACTCGAATGAGAATTGGCAGAACCAGCCCTAAGGCTTAGAGAAACCATGATTTGCACAGTCCGATGTGCTCCAATAGGGCCATTTCCAGCCCAAGGCGTGAGCAATGACTTAACGAGCAGCACAGTTTCATTTCTTTGTCAACTCGAATCGGATGAATTCTCTGGGCCCATTTCACTTCACGTGCTAAGGCTGAATTCCATAAGTCAATAAGGAATTGTAGTCTCAATGCGCCATGACCTGGCTATAAATCCACATGGCCATTACAAGCCTACCCGAGGCAATTTGGCCACGCGGCATTCGACAAACGTTCCACTGCTCCATCTCTTCTCCCCCCCCCCTGCCCCGTGTCCCTCCCCCTCCCACCCCCCTCACCACCGGGATGCTGCTTGAAGACGAGCACAGAAGCAGGCGGGAACATGATGGGTGCGTACACCGTGGCGACGATCGGCACATCGCTCCGCAGGTACCGCTCCATTTTGTGCTTGTCGCCTGCGGTGGAACGCGGTCAGCAGAGGTGAAGGCCTTGCCGTGCGCATCTTGGGAAAGTCTATTCGACGGCGTTGTTGCGAAACCGTCCTGCCGACTCAATGGTGATCCTCACGACCGCTGCTCCATTTGAGCAACCACAGTTTTACCGCAGGGCGCACTTCGGCGCCCGCTGTTGACTACACGGGATTTGGGTGGCGGCTCAGGGGTAGTCGCAGTGCTCAGAAGAGCTGGCACTGCTGAGATCCTGGGTTCAACAATAGTGGGCTCTACCATCCACATGCGATTCAACTGGGGTTCTCAAATTGTTAGGGTTTTTTAATTTTATTTGTCACACGGACGATGATCCCGTTTAGCCAGTTGCCCGGCTATTTTACAATGGAGATCCCGGAGGTGCGCTAGCACAGCAGCAACAAAGACAAAAGAGAAAAAAATTAATGGAAAAAAAGCAGGTGGGTTTCAGCCCTGGTCCATCAATAACTGCACAATTAAAGTCACCATTAATTATGGTATTCAATTCATTTCACAAAATTCCAGTTTTCAGGATTTAAAATATCGGTTTTGACTTTTAAGTGACAAACACCTCCCCCACCCTCCCCCCCATCCACGTTAGCAATCTGGTGGTACAAGCCTCAGATAACTCAGTTGTCAGCATCGTCAGCTCAGACAGGGATAACTTGATGTACATCACAGGCTTGTGAACCAGGAATGGCAGGACACCGCTGTGCAGGGAAGATTGGACACGCTTGATTTAGCAGGCCAAGGGGGGAATGAGAAAACTTTGAAACACTGCAGTGTTATTTGGAGTGTGACACTTTGTAAGCGATGAATGAGGTTCATTGAGTCACCATTTAATTTTTGGCTCATTTCTAGATATAACTACGTTGTGCGATGCCAATACACCTCTGCTCAAGGCGAAAACAGATAAATAGCCTTTCCAATTTAAATGACGCGGGAAATTGGGAGATGCTCTTTAAAACTAGGCTTTCCCTTTGTATTAGAAGAGTGGATGGGAACACCACCCGTGGTTGGAGTGCTTGGGCCCATGTGGTGGTGTTCAATGGTGTGGTGGCGCTTGATGGAGGAATCTTGGTCCTGCTCCTTATATAGAGCTATAATACAAACCGATTGGATAAATTGCGTGTTCTCTTGACACCAAGAACCACCACATACCGTCACGTACCACCACAAACCCCCAGAAGCACTGCATCATTTCTAAGCGCCACCATGCACCTGTGTGTTGTGTGACCTTCCGTGAAAGGGGGAGGGGGGTGGCTGTGGCGCTTGTTTGTTGGCGTGTGACAATGCCTGTTGGTGTGCTGCGTGCGTGGTGCTGCTTGGTGAGGTGGCAGTTGGTGGAGGGGTACCTCCAGTGTGCTGCGAGAAGATGGGCTTTGCTCGCAACCGCCGGAATCCGCAGTGGAACACCAACTCCTCCTTGGCCTTCACCACCTCCGTGCAGCCCGGGTGCCTCCGCACCGCAAAGTGCACCACCGACATCTGCGGAGTGAGCGGCGTACATTGCTTCAGCTTTACCGACAGTGCTGGTGCGGGGGCTGGATGATTGATGATGCAGTAGACGGCGATGGTATTGCCGTCAAGTTTCGGTGGCTTTCACGTGAAGTCACGGCATCGGCGACGATGGCATTCACGATTCTGTCAATAGTCGCGCAGAAGTCGCCAACGAACAGGGCCACTGACGACGTCGGGCGCTGGCGCCAGCAGTGGCTTCACCTTGTGCTCATGTGGTAGGAGTCCAAAGAGGACAAGCGGAGCGTCTGGCTGGCGCCCCTCCAACAAGTCCAGGGGTACGTTGAGGATGTGAACCGTCACGTACAAGCCGAGCTGCACGCCACACACACACAGATTCTCCCTGTTAAGTCTCAGACTGCAACAGCAAGTGCTGTTAGCGAGCAACCTGCTAGCACCACACCCGACAACCGTTGTCTCTAAATGCTGATATTAACAGGTGGCAAGACATAGCACCAATTCCAGTGGATAGTTAAAAGCACAAACAACGACAAACTACACCGACTTCACAAAGCATCCCAGTGCCCACTGCCCCATCACATCTCGTGACGGCGGCATGACCTCAGTAAAGAAAGGACGTCCGCACGCAGGTTTCTCGGACAGGGATAACTTAGTAACATCACAGGCCACACCGCCCCCACAGACGCCTTCCGGGTTTCCCCGCGTTGACATAAATTATCACTATTCATTGGGGAAACGATGCATCGATTCGCCTATTGACATTGAATCTTAAGCTCACGAAACATTGATCAAATCACGCGTGCTAGAATCCATTTGTGTTTTATTTGTGCACGTCGCATTTAATGGAGCGTCGCTCACCGCCGCAGCCTCCTCGTCCTGCTGAGAGTCGCGCAGCACGCGTTTGCGCGCCGCCGCAAAGTTCTGGAACTGGAAGATGCGCCCGTACTCCAGCGGGAGGTTCTCCTTGGGGTCCCAGGGCGACGTGCGGAAGCTCTTGAGCCCGCGGTACTTCTGGAACCTGGGTCGGGGGCCGGAAAACAACAGCAGGGTCAGAACGTCACGAGGATGAGACGCGGAGATGTACCGCGGATAAACAAAGCGAACCACAACCGCGAACCGTTGCAATGCAACAAATCGGCCAACAAATGGAAACGAAAGTGGGGCCAGGTCTGATTATTTGAGCGATAGGTTAACACAACCGATTATCAGTTATATTCCTCCAATAATCGGATAACATGGAAACAGTAGAAAAGATGTCGAGTCAACGGTCGTTCTGGACCCCAGGTTGGGGTTGGGAGGGCAAGGAAACAGGGGGGTTGTAAAGTAGCAAGGGCATGACACTGGGAGTTGGTGATGTAGACTAGAGCTGGGCTCTCCGATTAGTTAAGCAATCGGTTACTCAACCGATTAGCGGGTAGACTAGTTGCTTAATCAATCTCTCCAGCGATTCCCATTACAAAAAACAAATACTTCCTTAGGATTCGGTGATCAAAAGCCTCAGTTTAACATTTTCCACATGGAATGTTCAGATCTGGGTACCAAAAAAATCATCATTGGCTTTTGATCACCTAAAAATACTATTCCATTCCCTTTTTGCGTTAGCTCAGGAGCATAACAGTTTTTGTGCCGCCCCCACATGAACAGGCAGACACGTACAGACAGATACCGTCCAATTGAAAATAAGGTGTACATTTAGTCTTATTTTCCGATCCTTTCGAGATCAAACTTGAAACTGAAAAACCCAGATACTAAGATAAGTGAAACACCTACGTATTCAACGAGATGTTGCAAATGCTTTCGACCTTGGTTGGAAAGTCTTAACAAAGACAGCGATTCCCTGTAGAGCCTTAAACTGACTTTTTGTGCAAGTGCTGTTATAAGCAAGCACCTATGAAGGTCAGCACGGCACACGAGGTGGGATGGCCACCATCACGCCTGGCCGCCTTCGTTTCCCTAGTGGTGACATTTACACATCACAGGTACTCATTTGAGGCCGAGTCGACCTCAGGAAGGCAGAGGACGGGTTGAGGTAAGTCACTGGTGTTGACCGTGAACGGGAATCGTACTCGGGTCGCCGGGTTCGTAGCGCAGCTTGCTAACCATCACGCCACCGCTCCCCGATGAAGCAGACACGCAGGGCGACCAGGAGAAGTAAAGGGCCCTTGCCTGACGCGGCAGCTGACGTCCTTGGGCGTGTCCACCTCGTCGGGGAACATGCGGTCGAGCCTCTCCTCGCGGTACTTCTCCAGTGCCACCTGGTCCTCTTCCTCATCCATCCTCGCGTCGTAGCCCTCGTCGCACACCGTGCCCGTGTCCGCCACGCTCTTGCCCCCATCCTCGTCGCGACCGTCGGAGCTGGCATCGTCGTCCATGCTGCCCTGCTGCAGGGAAACCACACGAGCAGCCTTGTTGAAGAGATGTGCGTTTAAGAGCATTTGGCTGCGATGAATCTGCACGTGATTAAGCCGCTTCGTTGAGCTATCATGTGGCCAGGTCGTCTCTGTAAAAGAAGCTGATAGCTCAGTGGGCCCGAACCTGGTGAGATAATTTTTGTTTTTTTATCTGTATATATATATTTTAAGTGATTTGCTTCCCTTTCCTATACTTTGAATTCCCATTATATGTTTGTCTTGTTTGTTGTTGCAATGTTGACCCACCCCTACAGACAATCTGTGAATGAGCTTTATAGCTCATCAGATTCTCCCAAATTCTGATCTTCTCCAATCGCCACGAATCACCTCGGATGTTATACTTATACGGGAGCTTGTGGGTTCGATCCCAACTCTGACGCCTGTATATTTGGAGTTTGCATGTTCTCCAGGTCCTCTGGTTTTGCCTCCAATGAGAAACACGTGTAAAAGTATTTGACTGCTAGAAATTTCCACGTGATAAGCCACTTCATTGAGCTATCATTTGTGATAGCCGGGTCAACTTCTGACAAAGAGCTATATAGCTCAGTGGGCCTTACCTGGTAAAATAAAAATAGTTCATAGTTTGGATAGTTTGGTGTCCTGCAAAAACTTGTCAGCCCACATGTGCAAGTAGGAACACTTGCCATTTTTGTCAATCCACTGCCGGATGAGAGCCTCCGCAAACAGGGGCGTTTGCGATGGGATATAGGCTGGGATTATTTAAAGTGAGGGGGTTGTGGGATCTGTCTAGTCACCCCATGACCAAGACATACGCTCCACAAGAGTCAGCGACCAAAGCCTCAGAATCACATTGTCCACACGGGCTGTTCAGATATGGATAACGAAAAAATAATCATTGGATTTTTGGTCCCCGAACAAATCAACGGTACACGTTGCATTTCTGCGAGTCGGTCAGCTGAGAATCCTGCGAAATGAGTTTTTCTTTCAAAGGGTTCAAGCACAAACTGAACGACCACTTCGACTGGTGGCCCCGAGCCAGTGTTAGCAATTCCACATTACACTGGCAGGTGCCCACACAATGTAACATGATCACCGCTGCCGAATTCACAGTGGTATTCGCGTTATCGACCATGGAGGGCTCGTGGGCCGAGTAGATCGATGTCCGACAAAACAAATGCTGCTTCAATGATGGTAGTCCGGTGGAGCAATAGCCAGATAGACTAGAATTTTTTATTTATTTCATATGTAGAGACAAAGGGAATTTTTTTTTTTCAAAAATACTCCACGCGTATATGCACAGCCCTTTGTTACACCACTACTAGGTGAGGTCTTGCAGGTTATTTGACCATACTTAACCATGCTAATTATATATACACACACACGAATAAACAAGTTCAAGTTTTGCTGAAACTTGTCTCATCCCCCTACCTGCCCCTTTGTTTAGGGTGGTCGGACGTGGAATCTACTAGTCACCTCCACCACACAAAGAAAGCACCAACAGGGACGAGAAAAATATCAAACCTGGGACTCGGCCACCTCCTCCATGGCGTCGTCATCGTCATCATCATCATCTTCATCGTCGTCATCATCATCTTCATCGTCGTCATCTTCGCCGCCGCCGCCACCCCCGTCTATGATCCAGCTCGCCTGGTAGTCGGACGTCCCGCGCGGCACGCGTCGGACTTCTCGCTTCTTCGCAGCCAGGGACTCTGCAGGGCGGCGCGGGCGGGCGGGAGGAGAGGATACGCAGGAGAGGTAGGAGGAACGGGTGGTAAAAGGGAGGGGATAACGCAGACAGAGAGGACGAAGTAGTTGAAGGAATGGGCAGGAGGGAGAGACAGAGGGGACAGATGGGCAAAAGAGGTGGGGGGGGGGGGCCCTTTATGAATTGCCACTCTCATAGTGGAACATCTACCATCCACACTCGCCCAACAACCTACCACGTACCTGGTCCACACCCCAGCCACTCTCACCAATGCACTAACCCTCTAGGCTTAATACCTAAATCTCACACATCTTCCCTTCCAACATTGCTCTCAGCTGCACCCCTCCCCACCTACCAGCCAACCTCACTCTTTCCCACCCACTTGGGAGCCTTGCTCCCACCACGAAACCCTCAATCCATGTACAACACGCACTCCTCCCACCAACTCAACCCTCGATTAATTACCCCCCCACGCACCCTCAATCATTGTTTCCCAACCTCCCTCTAACCCTAACCCCCCCCCGCCCCCCCCGTTTACATTTTAGTAAAAGTCACCCTATAGCTATGTCACGTTTCTGTAGCTTAATTATAATTGTACTATGATCAGTCTAAAAATAGTCTGCCCGAGCCGAATTACGCTACGCTCCAGGAAATGCATGATTTGACAAAGATTTGTCATATGACGACGCAATTGTTTTTTTCAACTTTCTATTCACTTCGTTGCTGTACTTTATTGTAAATTTTTCTTTTATCATCCAGGTGGACCCAGGTCAATCTTAAAAAACAAAAGTGACTATTCTAATCCCTTAAAACAAACTCAACATGGAACTCGAATCCCTCCCTCTCACCCACCCCCCATGCACCCAGCCAGATCACAAAGTGCTTGCCACAAATTAACCGCATTACCTTGCTGATCTCATCAAGAAGCATTAGCCATCAAGTGAGCTCAGGTCATCCTTGCAGCGGCTTTGGCCAGCCAGCGGACAAAGATGGTCATCGCATCAAGCGCTTTAAGATGCGCATCTGCAGCCATCTAAGAACGTTCTTCCTTTCAATATTAGGAAGCCACTGGAGCTATGCACTTTTAAATCTAGATTTGAAAACTGCTGTCGTTCCCTCGTACCGCCAATTAGAACGGCTGGCTACGTACGGTGCAAAAGAAGTTAATACATACATATACACACCCCCAAATTGCTCCGAGCGCCTCCCTTCTCACCCTCGGCCTCTCGGAGCTCCTCGTCGGTGGGCCACGTCTGCTCTCCCTCCATTGGGTCGGGCACGGCCTCGCAATCCAGGGGCACCTGCCGTGCGGGGTCAGCCCTCACCAGGACCCGCACCTCATCCGTGTCTTCCTGCAAGGGGGTGGGAGGGGGTACAGCGGGGCAAGCAGGGCACGTTCACCGGGGTTACGTTACATCACTCGGGAAATCAGTAATCCGATTACTTTTCAAAACCTTCCCTGAATGCCACAACATTTTCCATGTGGCTTCCTGCTCTTGTGACCGATCAACTAACCGGACTAATAATGAACGGACGACGCTTAAGTGATATTTCCATGAAGCTTTACGCAAAACAGCTGTGGTCAAAGCCTCAGATCGTGTTGCTGTCCACACACGTTTCAGACAGGGATAACTTAAAGCATCATTGGCTTTTGACCACGTGACACTTAAATAGGTTCAGCGACTTCATTCTGTATATTTAGACCTGTTGCCACAGTGCTACACACGTTTTTAAACAGAACCCCTGGACGAGATATTGTTTGACCATACTTCACCAAGCAGGTCAGCCGGTCGCTGGGTTATTAGTGCAGGGTGCCAAATGCAAAGCCACCAGTCCAACCGCTAAAGTAATTTCATTGGCAATTAGAAATTCAAACGACAGAACCACAAGGGTTCAGAGAAGGGGAGCGAGGGAGGTACCAGGAAGCGGCCACTGCGGGGGAGTCACCTGCATTTCCACGTCAGCGGAGGACTTTGCCTTGCGCGGCACTCGCGGGTTCAGGGTCAGCGGGTCAGGGACGAGGTCGATCTGGCTCATTTGGAAGTCGCCGAGGCCCACGAGGTGGATCAGACCGTTGACGTTGAGAGGACGCCCGCGCACGTAGCTGCACAGGCCAAGAGGGCGATGTTACCGCATGCGCAGAGACAACAACCAAGTCGGTCAAGCGTGGTGGCGTACGCACCCAACTCGCTCACCCTACATTTACTCTCGCCCATTTTCTCACTCACGCCGCCGCCCCCCAAAACTAGGTCAATTCCTGAGCTGCTTAGCTCAATTGCCTTTAGTCCGGAAATAAAAAACAGCAATCAACCACCAACCTCGTTTAACCCACCCCCAACCAACTCGTCCCTACCCGCCCATCCGCTCGCCAAACCCACCCCGCTCACCCGGTGACCTTGAGCGTGCCGAGGAGCGTGGCCGGCTCCCCGTCCGCGCTGCCCCCTGGCACCAGCTGCGTGCGCTCGGCCAGCATGTGCGCGCGACGCTCTCGGAACGCCACCCGCGCGCGCCGCTGGGACCACACCTGGCGCAGCAGCAGCGCTGCCTCCCCCGCCGAGTCGAGGGGCAGGGGGCGCGCGCCCGGCACGCGCCGATCCACCAGGCGGCACAGCTTCGTGCGTGTCTCGGCGCGCCTCTTCGCCGGCAGTTCCGAGGCTCCGACTACACCGAATACTGTGGCGTGGTGGCGGCACGGGAAAGGGGGGGGGGGCGGGCAAAAGAGTTCATTCTGTTCAGGAAAATGTGACGGAAACAACCGTCAAGGATACGAGTGGATGGAAATCGTCACGCGTTAATGTTGATGCGGCTACCCACCGAAGCATGACTGACGAAAATAAATTAACTATTCTGAATGATAGAAAGGGTTGTAATTGTGTTAAAGACACCGTGGTTGAAACGAGACAAGTTTCTTAAATCCGCAATGCGTCTGTCCACCGAAAAGCACGAATGGTTACAAGTTCGGTGATTGGCAGGTTTAGTGTGGTGGGGGTAAAGTGTGGGTTTACACACCTCTTCCAAGATGGCTGGAAGAGTAGGCCAAATACCCTCTGTATAGTGTTCTGGCAGTCGAGATTGGGGGGGGGGGTAGGGGGGGGCTGTGTAGTGGAGAGGGCGGCAGTGACGCTTCGTAGAATAGGGGGCGTGGTGGTAACGTCTGTATGTTGAACTTCTTTTCGCACCGTACATAGCCAACCGTGCTAATCTGAGGTAACGCACGTACCACAGCTGGGCAGGCCCTGGGCGAAGAGACACGAGAGGCAGTGCTCCCCGGACGCGTCCCACCCGTCACTGGGCTCCAGCAAGAGCAGCAGTGTGTCGGCCACCTTGGCTGCGTCCAGCAAGGCGTGGGCGTCGCCTGCAAGGGCCCCACACCAAACGCACGGGCAACAACGACAAACACGGCGGACGCTTGTCAGTATGGTGAGCCACACGGCGCCACAACACCCGCCCATCTCACCGCACAGGAACTGGGCCCGCCGAGAGACCGTTGTTCCACCCAATCAAGATTTGCGTTGACAATTTAGATCTGTTATGGCGTAGAGTTTCACGATGGTGCCGTAGAGCTTTCCGACGTATTTTTCGGTCGTACCGCGTGAGGTTTGGCACGATGTCCGTCATTTAACTCTACATGCTGGGAGCTTTATATTGATGCTGAACTTCTTTTGCACCGTATGTAGCCAACTGTGCTCCGAGCACATGGAGCGCAACGTTGCGGACAACATGCCAAACGAGATGGCACAACCCCAGAAATACATCTGGGAACCAACTCAGAATTAGTGAGAGGCAAGCAGGCATAGGCACTGCATTTGGTGAGCGCTCATTTTTCGCACTGTTATTGGATCACGCTAATGCATTGTTTTCCATTGCAAGGCCAGCCCCTGGTGGCCTTAAGTGCGGCCCCTGACAATACATACACGTGAAAACACCCCAACATGCCATCGAAAGCTCATAATGTGTATTGTAACATGTGGCCGAAAGGTAATTGCACCCGGTTACCTGACTTCTGATCACAGCTAACCTCAGTAGCAAGTGACAACTCAGCGGATTTTGGGCCTCTCTACCTTCAATAACCTGCAACTGACCAGCGTGGAGAAGTATCGTCAAGCATCCCCCACGACTGACGTGGGGTGGGTTGTTAAAATTTGTATTTAGGTTAATGTTCTGCCCACTCCTGCGGTGCAGATGTCGCATTGTGGCGCAGCGTACCCTGGCCACCGCTCATCGCGTTAGAGGTGAAACTGTATTGACGCTCATCGCTGAACAGCTCGAGACAAACGGGTTTTCATCATCGCAGCAGCTGGTGTCGCAGGGCTGAGCGGCCCGAAATCGGCCCACAGACTTACACAATGGCTGGGTAAGCTTGTCAGACTAACACCCAAATCAAAGTAACGAGTCGACATCACTGAGGACTTAAGCTTAAATCCACATATAAGCCACTCCCGTAAATAAACAAATCTAAGGACCTTCCGTTCATCTTTTGCCTATCCATATCAAATACACTTTTTACGTACAGCGTCCACACAAGACATGGTCTCGTGTAGACCCTACATGAATCCAAATTGCATTATAATTGAAGGGTCTCCATACTAGTCAATTGCAGGTCTGTAGTCAATGGGTTTTTTTCTCTGCCTCTCTGTATAAAATAAATGCCTACTGTTTCTGTCGAGTCGTCCGTTGTTTAGACTCCATATAAATCCAGGCTGCATTGTAACTGTATACACGAGGCAACATTGATTAGCCAAGCTGAGGTCATGAGAGTTCCACAGCGTGAACGGAGATGAATGAGAGCGACCGTTGCCAAGTATAAGTATTAGGGCTAGAAGAGCCTGGGTGAGTTTAGGCGAGGCTAGTTGACGACGGGTGAGGTCAGGTGAGGCTGGGTGAGGAGACCGAGGTGAGGGGAGGGCAAGTTGGTGGAGCGCATGGCTCACCAGGATCCACATGGATGAAGGAAAGCCGCTGCTTGTGCCTCGTTAGCACTAGGCCGAAGGGGCGGCGATCGCTGCCGCTGGCGGATGTGGGGCCATCCTCCACGCGCGCCGTCTCGTCGCACGAGCGCAGCAGCCGCACGGCCTCCCCGGTGCTAATCCCAGAATGCAGCGGGATGATGGCGACCAGGTGGGGAGGCCCGTCCTTGCTACCCACCATCCGCTTGCTGTTGAAGACCTGGTGGCATTGTGTTGTGTTCATTAAGCACTAATAGCTCAACTTTTATGACGTCAAACATAATATTTACGAATTAATCAGTGGTGAGTGATATCTAAAGCAATTCTTGCCCCCCCCCCTTCACCAACCCGCAACAATCAGAGTGAAGTATGGTCAAACAACCCCCACAACTAAAATGGCATGAGGAGGCCTTCACCAAGCAGGAGACTGAAAAAAGGAATTAGGATAAGCACAATTGTGATCAATAAGATATTGAAGTTACAAGCAGTGGTGATTAAAGCCTCAGATTGTGTTACTGTCCACACAATGTTTCAGACAGGGATAACTCAAAGCATCATTGGCTTCAGATCACAAGAAATGTTAACATGGATCCTGCTTGGTGGAATTGCTTCCCTCAAGATTGTTTCAGGGAGAGGAATTCTATTATTTCTATCATCATTATTCGGGGAATCTTGAACCAAATTTGTAATTCTCACAGCTGAAATTAATATTAATCGCTGGTACTCAAACTGTAAATGTTGTGGATTCACTCTTCAACACACCCGTGGGCTAAAGTAGTGAACTATTTGTCTTTTGTCAACGTGACACTTTTTTGCTGATTGGCCGTGTCGGGTAGTGGTGGGTTACGACACATTTATATATAACGCGATCTAACCCAAATACCTTTATTATGAATATTGGCCATGAAAGCCTACGTGTTAAACCAGGTCTATTCATCTCTGCATAGGTATACGATTCTCCAAGTCGGTCTCTATGGCCCTTGCAAGTTTAAGTGGCTGGAAAGCAAATTCGAAAACCAGGAGCCCAATGGTCCCAATTCTGCACCCTAAACTGCCGAGTCACCCATCCACCTCAAAAGCTCAGATTTATTTATTTTAACTCACGAACTTGCAGATTGGCCTGCACCCACGGTGAAGCTGCTGCCATCACTCACAGCATCGCGCTTGTTTTTTCTGATCTGCGTAGATCTGTTCCGCCGTTCCTGCCGGTTCAGCTCCCGTCGCGCTTTCTTCGTAAGGACCTTGACGGTCACACGCCCTGCACAAGAGGAATAGACGTTACCACGTGACTGCCACATGACTCCCATGGTCACTGCACGCGGCTTGCAAACGTTGAGGGTCGTGTTTGCGCTCGGGTTAGTTGTTTGGGCCACCGTTAGGGTTTGGTGTGTTATGTTCAGGGTTTGTGCAAGTCCGTTTTAGTGTTTGGGTGAAAGCTTAAATGAAGATTCAGTGTGTTCGGGTTAATGTTAAGGTCAGTACGTTTCTGTGTTCGGATTAGTGTTAATATTATGCTTGGTGTTTGTTTTGGGTCAGTGTCGGTGTGATGGTGGTTAGCATTTGTGTTTGTATCGGGAAGAGTGTTTTATATGTTCGGGTCAATGTTGAGGCCAAACCCCGTGTTAGGGTCATATTTAGTGCTCGAGCAAGCGTTCCGGTTTGGGTTAAAAATTTAGTTGGGTCTAAACGTGAGTTTTAGTGTAGAATGTTCTAGAAAAAAATTCGAGAGCTTGCCTATACCCATCACTCCACTTGGGTTGAGGAAATATGCATCAAATCACGATGTGGTAAGTCAACCGTGGTTTGCCCCAGGAGGGACTGGGCACTGCTATAAGCATGTGTGGCATTTACACCACCGACTCAGGGCCACCCAATCGTAAGCACCGATACTCTCATTTCAGCAGAGGAATTATTTATGTATCTATTTTTACTTGGGACTTTTTTTTCACGCTGCCAAACTGAGATTTATTCTTGACTGTTAAGTCTTGGAACAGTTCCACGTTAGCTTGACAAAGCAGTAGTGATCAAAGCCTCAGATCGTGTTTCTGTCCACACGCATTTCAGACAGGGATAACTCAAAGCATCATTGGCTCGTGATCACAAGAAACTTGAACGCGAACCCTGCTTGGGGGGGGGGGAATAACAATCACCCCGAGTTTCTGCATCGAGGAGTTTTATGGGGCGGGCGAGAATTACTCAACATGCACATGCTCGACCCCCCCACCTTGGGAAAGGGCTATAAAGCCATCATCATCAACCTTCGTCAATTCGCTGCTGGATCAAGGAGGCCTCCTCTCTCCCCAAGCAGGCGTCAGGAGTTTAATTTCCGAGTGCAGCCCACCGAGCTAAGCAGCTATTTTTAAAAGGTCGACACGTCCGGCAGACGATGTCGTTGCAACCTCACGACCGTGCGATGGTAACAACGCGACTGGGCGTCTGTAGAAAATAGCTTTATAGCTCATCGGATTCCTTCAGTATAAATGATTCTGAACCTACCGGCGCACGCGCAGATGCGGCTCGTGCGCATTCTTGCGACCAATGTTAAGTCGATACCGGGGAGCTATGCCCAACAATATATATTTAGTATCTGTTATGGCACATTCGGATTGCAGTAGGTACAGTATATATAAAGCCAGCGACCTGTGCTCGATTTATGACCGTGACCAAATTCGGTGGCGAGCGATTATCCGAACCGGTTCTAGGCCACTCTCCTTCACCATCCCGACGCAGTACGGTGTGGTGGTCGGTCACACTCGCCCCGACAGCCGCCACGTGTTGTGGAGGGTTTCATTTGACAAGACTGGCGACGACGATAATTATGGAAATATTTAAAAAGTCATTCACCGTGCGAGGAAAGCAACGCCTCTCGAGTCTTAACTATTTAATTAAACATGTTAGGTTTAAAAAAAATAGTGTCAGAAACCCCTTGTCCACCCGATACGGACACTTAATAAAAGTATCGCGTCAATCAAGCGTGCCAAAATAAAACGATCATGAACCAAGTCGGTCGTGACAAGCCTGCGTATAAAACTCACAAGCTGACGTGCTCAACTATTTCACGTTCATGAAATAGCAGTCGCGAAAGCTTCAAATCAAGATTATTTCACGTTCGCTTCTGCACCATGGCCGTAGGGCCAAACTCATTTCACACCAAGCGCTTTGCAATTAAAAACAAGACCCACAAAATTAAACACGAAAGAGATAACTACAAAACGTACGCCATGTAAAATGAAACGCATCACAACAGAGTTTACAACTGTGTTTAATACAAAAATAAAAGACTTAAGAATGTAGCGACCACGTGGTGGCATTCATGTAGGCCCAGGCAAGCCCTGCGGCGCGGGATAAACACGTGGTCGCCGCCGCAGCAGCAACCGCGCAACTCTGCAGGGAAGAAGCGTCGACGAGAGCGTGCGTACCCTTGTGGTCTCTGTCGATCTCGCCCTTGGTGCGGTGCCGCCCGTTCTTGTGCGTCTTGTTCTTCTGCTTCAAGACGCCGGCTCTGTGCACCGCCTGGTCCGCCATCGTCTCACCGGCGAAAAAGGCTGCAACCGGCGATTCGATTCCCTGAACTCGTTGTATATATACGTAGGCGGAATCGATTGTCGCTGTTTGAGTTCCATACCCCCCACCACCACCCACCCGAGCGAACTCGATTCCATTCGCGCGCTCGATTCGATTCTCTCATTACCCTGGGGCAATGCTGTTGAATCTATTTCAATTCTTAATGACGCGAGTCGATTCCAAAAATCGTTATCTTTCGTTAAAGTCTCAAACACATTGGTCGGGAGGACTGCAAGCTGCTTTAAAATGGAAATTATATCACGGGCGACGTTTCGGACAATGGCTCTTCCCGATAGCACATTTTTTTTTAAATTAACAAAACAACATTTTTTTCAAATGTTGTTTTGTTAATTGTGCCTGTGCAGCGCTGCCAACGTGGCATAATTTGTGGTAAATTGTAATCGATTAAAGTTGTCTTTGTATTAACCACAAATCCATCTGTGCGGAGTTTCGAGTGGTATAGAGAGGCACGTGCCATGTAATGCACATAATATATATCAGACACACCACATTTGCATTGCGACACAAAACACCTGGCACCATAATTTAAAACTCATTTGAATTGAACTCTAAATTGTCTCAATTGAAAACTAATTTCTTTAGAACTGCGTTTTGTGTTTAGTTTGTCTTCCCCCCGCACGTCGGATTAGCACGGTACGGTGCCAAAGAAGTTCAACGTACACAATAACCATTCGGGTCTTAGTGGAGAATATACACAGCAAAATTCATGTAATTTTTTTTAACACATCCCATCTGCTTGACGGCCGTCCTTCTGGGAGTGCATAATTTCAGTGCATCAATTTATTAAAGACAAGCAAAAACACTCTGCATGGACTAGTTTCGACGCTCAGTGCCTCATCAGTAGTCAGGCTTTGCTTGAATTAGTGCTGGGTGAACTGCTATTCGCTCAGTGGGCTTTACCTGGCAAGATACAAAAAACAAATATATAGTTTTATCTGTGTGTATCTTTTAAGTGGTTGTTTTACCTTCCCAATGAATTTCACTCGTGTCGTGTTTTTTTTTCTTTTCCACTGCGTGTTGTTGTAACGTTCTGACCCGCCCCACACAAGGACATCTGTGGGGGGAAAAAAGAGCTTTATAGCTCATCGGATTCCTCCTGCGGTAAAAAAAATACTGAAGATGATGATCCTGAACGTCTGCAATGCGGTCTCGCCGTTCACGAGGGCATCGATCCGCGATGACGTCACACGCCGAGTTGCGTTGTGACGTCAGAAGGAACGCACGCTGCCTCTCACGCCTGCGTCGCCAAATCGACAGTGTGCTGGGCTGGTGGGTGAGAGTCGTTTCCATTGGGTTTGTTTTAGGGGCCGTCCATAAATGACGTCACGCACCTAGGGGGGGAGGGGGTCAGACATTTGTGACGATGTGTGACGAGGGGGGGGGGGTTTGAGAAATGTGACGTCACATCAAAATGCGCAACTTTAAATAAATATAGACAACACGTTCTACTTAATGAAATAGACGTTTTAATAAATGTTTTCTCCTACAACATCAGAGTGCAGCGCCACATTAAATACGCACTACAATGACAATAGTTTAAAGCGATTTGAAGCATGTTTTATATATTTTTTGGGGGGGGGGGGGGGGGGGCAGAGCTTTGTGACGTCATATTTGAGGAGGGGGGAGGTCTGACTTTTTGTGACGCCGTGTGACGACGGGGGGGGGGGGGGGGTCAAAAATCGTCCAAAACCGCGTGACGTCATTTATGGACGGCATCCTTACTCGTTTCGCATGAAAGAGAGGGAGAGCTCGTGGATTTGTGCTGTTCCTCCTCCGTTTCAGGAGCGCAGATCACAGTGGGTCTACTACACGGTGCATAGTTTGATGAAGCTAGCTGTAATTACTGGCGAAACGTCGTACTCAGATTGTTAATGTAGCGGGTTGGCTCTCCAACACACAACCGGTTAGTGCTGCTGTACTAGCGACGAATTGCCACGTTCTGTTTACGTGACCAAACTTACTAAATGGTTGTGGTGGCGGGTTTGACGACACATATATTTACGCGATCTCACCCCCCCAAAAAAACTGTATTAAGGGCATGTAGCCTTTTAGAGGCTGCTGGGGGGAGGGGGTGGATGGCCAGCACCACGCCCGGCCGCCTTTGTCTTCCCAGTAGTGATGGTGTTTATTTTTGCACATCACACCAGGAACTCATTTGAGGCTGAGTCGACCTTCGAAGAGGCCCCGGAACGGTGCAGATAGTCGTCACTGGCGTTGACCGTCAGCGCGGATCGAACTGGGGGTTCGGCCGGTTTCGTGGCGCAGTGCGCTAACCGCTGCACCACCGCTCCCCGCAATGTGACCGCCACCTGCAACAGCGCCTCACGTGGCCCCCGTATTGAATAACCATGTGTACTTTATTACAATGATGTTCTTCTTGGTTCTTTCGGTAAAGTCACGTAGAATGAGAATAAAACAATAAAACAAACTAAGCTCAGTAGGCTTTATCTGGTAACATATATTTTGTTAATTGTTTCATTTTATTTGTATATTTTTAAAGTGATTTGTTTACCTCTCCTACAATTTGCACTCCTATCGTGTTTTTGCATTGCTTGTCGTTGTAAAGTTCTGACCCCCGTGCCCCTCACTGAACATCTGTGAACAAGAGCTTGTCGTTGTAAAGTTCTGACCCCCGTGCCCCTCACTGAACATCTGTGAACAAGAGCTTTACAGCTCATCGGATTCCCCCTGCAGTTTAAAAAAAAAAGATTTGGGCGGATTTTCTTGCCGATGGCCGCCTGAGGCACACGTGCTCCCGGGCCGCGCTCCCAGCAGCGGCTGGCGGGGGCCGCTTGAGAGGGGGCCGAGGGAGCCGACGGAGGGAGCCGATGGAGCCGGGGGGGCCGACGGAGCCAGTGGGGACCGGGGGGGGCCGACGGAGCTGGGGGGGGGGGCGACGGAGCCGGGGTGAGGGGGGGCCGACGGCGCGAGCAGAGGGAGCCGACACTGACTCACTCACACCATGCACTGACTCACTCACACCATGCACTGACTCACTCACACATCATACACTCGCACAACCACTGACCCATTCACACATCGTACACTGACTCACTCATCATGCGCTGACTAACACATCGTGCGCTGACTCACACATCATACACTCACTCACGCTGACGCTGATTCAGACTCACTCATCATACGCTGACTCGCACATCATACACTCACTCACGCTGACGCTGACTCACTCACACATCATACGCTGACTCGCACATCATACACTGACTCACGCTGCTGCGGACTCACTCACACATCATACATTGGGAGTGTCGTGCTGCCAGCTATGGCTGCATGTTTTGTCGTACGTGTTATGTATATCGTTTATTGTTAAATTTAAAATCACAGTTCCTATGATTACTGTTGCTACATTGTTTTTATAGCTTTCTTTTGGTGAATCCAAAACATGATTAATCTAAATTGTCTTATGGTTGTTGTTGAAATACAGAGAGATTAAGAAGGGCACATGCTGTAAATTTCCAGGGTTCAACGTTCGCTGGAGCCGCTTGCAGCGAGGAGCAAACACGCAGGGAAAAAAAGAGGCCTGTTTGCTCTCCATGGTCACGTCGCTCGTCTCGTGGGTGTTAATAAGAGACATCAGTGTCACACGCGGTCATTATTACAGGCACACACTGAGCGAACAAGCTAGCAATCAGGCCAGCCAGTCAGGCACGAGCTGCAACTCACAGACAATGCAGCCATAAATGAGGCATCAGATTAAGACATTACTGCCATTAGTCTTGAAATACAGAAAACAAGAGTCTCGCGTGCGTGTGTGTGGCGTGACGTGTGTGTTAAGGTCATACGGTATTTCGAGTGACATTTTCAGCTGGCGTACGTGTTCATGTGTGGTACAGGTAATTGCACGTTCATTTAATGTTTGCTGCTGCTAGCAGTCGTTTTTATAATACATTTTTGATAGCACTTTCAGGTACGGCGATGTTCTGTAAAATGTGTTATTAGCTGAGCAGCGTGAGGTTAATATACAAAACATGCGGGATGTTTTTTCGGGGTGGGGGAGTCCGCTAATTTAGTGGGACAAACCCCACGGCCCGTTTTTTTCTTCTTCTTCTCAATTGTACGCTACCGATAATTAAGTCCGGAGGCACGATGCCCTCCGCCAACGCACACGTGGAGGACTGCCACGCAGGGCTTCAAATGAACATATTCGCCGGCAGCAGAGCAAGTCTCGGCACAAACTCACAAACGCTCGCATTTACAATCCGCTTGCTATTGGCGATAGGTTTTGAAATTAAAATTGGGTGCTTGGCACTATGAGACCTCCTTTGCCAGTCGCAAGATATATACTGGGTGCTTAGCAATTAACAAAATGCAATGTGGCTATTACTGGCAAAAAAATTTCCCCCGGCAGAATAATTGAAATGTTTTTACAGTCGGTCAAGTTGTAAACCCATTCGGGCTGTATGAATCATGCAGACCAACGTGTTAAATTAAAGAAACCATGCAGAGGGACATTATCGTTACTTATTTTTCTCAAGTTTCCCATTGCGCCCTGACCCTTGACATCCACGATAATCATCATGACGGTTTTCACACGTCTCCCCACAATAATAAACGTGTTAATTTAAAGCAGTCATTTAGATATGACCGTGCTTTCAGGCCGATTCCTTTAAACATTCAAACGATTGTTATGCACTTTAAACATAGCTGATTGTGTGCACACCTTACGACTGATTGACTACCTCCCTACTGCACAAAGCTGCAGTCATTTTTATTATTCCAGTAATAATTACAGCCACTCAATTCACCAATGTTATGAGAGGGCCTCCCCACACCATGTTGGCCATGGGGGCGTTTTGACAACACTTCATCACGCTGGTCAATGAGGATCTGTGTAGGGAGGAAAGAGTCCAGTAACAGTTCTGATATCCCTCTGCACTAAATATTAGCCATGGCCGGGAAGCAAACTCGGGTCGGCGAGTTCATAGAGTTAGACCAATAACTTTAATCTTAATTGTCTTATGGTTATTCTTAGTTTTTTCGGTAAAGTCACGTTGAAGAGAAACAACAAAATAACAAAATATATATAAAACAATAAAAATTCTCACGACGTTTCGACCATAACTCAAACGGTCATCATCAGGTGTGTCGGTTTGCATAAATTTATTTTGAAAACGGCATATTTATTTATATATATATATAAAAATAACGTTTGCGTCACGCGCAACGATTGGCTGTTTGCCAGGACTAGTCCATCTATTTTTTGAAAAGAGGAGGGGGGAGACGAAATTTGTTTACATGTATGCTGTCTGAAAGCCACTGTAAGCGTGAACAATCAATCAAGAACTGAAATGATTTATCAAATCTTTCCAATGATTGCTAAGATAGAATCCATCTTCTCGGTTGAAATTGTCTCTGTGTTTGTATATGTGGATAGCCTCATGAACGAATCTCTCATGGAAGCCAGATGGCTTACAAAGAACCTCCGTCTTGGAAAAGTCAATGGCATGTGAGCCTACTGAATTAGAACAATGATCTGCTACGGCCGAGGTGTTGGTCCTACCGTGTTTAAGGTCTGCTTTATGTTCACGAATGCGGTCCGAGATATGGCGTTTGGTTTCTCCAATGTAACTACTACCACAGAGGCAACTTAGTTTGTAGACACCAGGGTATTGTATGTCTGGAATACCCTGGTGTCTACAAACTAAGTTGCCTCTGTGGTAGTAGTTACATTGGAGAAACCAAACGCCATATCTCGGACCGCATTCGTGAACATAAAGCAGACCTTAAACACGGTAGGACCAACACCTCGGCCGTAGCAGATCATTGTTCTAATTCAGTAGGCTCACATGCCATTGACTTTTCCAAGACGGAGGTTCTTTGTAAGCCATCTGGCTTCCATGAGAGATTCGTTCATGAGGCTATCCACATATACAAACACAGAGACAATTTCAACCGAGAAGATGGATTCTATCTTAGCAATCATTGGAAAGATTTGATAAATCATTTCAGTTCTTGATTGATTGTTCACGCTTACAGTGGCTTTCAGACAGCATACATGTAAACAAATTTCGTCTCCCCCCTCCTCTTTTCAAAAAATAGATGGACTAGTCCTGGCAAACAGCCAATCGTTGCGCGTGACGCAAACGTTATTTTTATATATATAAATAAATAAATATGCCGTTTTCAAAATAAATTTATGCAAACCGACACACCTGATGATGACCGTTTGAGTTATGGTCGAAACGTCGTGAGAATTTTTATTGTTTTATATATATTTTGTTATTTTGTTGTTTCTCTTCAACGTGACTTTACCGAAAAAACTAAGAATATGAATTACTGCAGTCACGAAAGCTTTAAATCAAAATTTTGTCTTATGGTTGTTATTGTTATCAAACAAGCGTTGATATGCGGTGCTTTTTAAGGAAGACATTGCTGTTATTTCCTGGATTTTTCTGTTGTGCGCAGTCACTTTAAGATGTTTTCTTGTTCATGTTTTTTGTTTGTTGCGGTTGCACCCGATTCAAGAGCCGCATGGCTCACAGGGCTATACCTAATCAATAAACTGAACTGAACTGATTGCACCACATTGATTTTTGCACACAGCGTTTTAATACGTTTTTTTTGTGTGGAACATTTGCTGGTTTATTCCAGGATGTTTCTGTTACGCGTCGACGCTTTAAGATGTTCTGTGTTTAAAATTGTGTTTGTTGCGGTTGTACCCGACTTAACAGCCGCATGGCTCACAGGGCTACAACCTAATAAATGAAACTTGAAACTTGGCAACTCCCCCACCTCCCATCCTTACGGCGCTGCGTCATCACGCCGTGACGTCACTACGCAATCACGCCCTGACGTCACCACGCACCGCCGTAAACCGCCTCCAGTACACCAGGCCCGCGTGCACCCTCCGTGCGCCCTTCAAGAAGCCTACGGTCTCGCCTAGCGCGGCTCGCCGCCCTCCGATTCGCCTCGCCCGGCCACGTCGCCTGGGCCACAAAACCCACCGGGACCCGACGCCGGCGGCAAGCTCCTGCTCCCGATGCCGCCTCGGCTGGCAGGAGGCGAGCTGGTTCGCTCTCCCGTGCATCTCTACCGCTACCTCATGCGCTGCTGCAGGAGGCTACCGCCAGGAGGCGCCCGGGAGCATTACCAGCACGCCGTGCGGCAGGTCCGCGGCGCTCGTTTTTGTTTCGTCTGGAAGTTAATATCGCAGAACTACTGCCGGAACAGGCGTTCATCGCCTGGCAAGGGACACGATTTGTTTTAGTCGCAAGAGCTGCGAAGCAGTCGAATGCACAGCTAATTAAGTGATATAATTAAGACTATGCGACCTGCTATGACATATTGATAAGAAACAAGGACGTTAGGACAATAAATGGAACGAGAGCTGAAAGTGGGCAAAAATGCATTAAAAAGGAAAGCTAAAAAACGGTTTAGTATTTTACCAGGAGAGGCCCACTGAGCTATGTAGCTCTTTTTCAGAAGCGACCTGAGCCACAAATGATATCTCAATGAAGTGGCTTACGTGGACATTTATAGCAGCCAAATACTATAAACGCGTGATGTTGATTCTAAATGTGGCGGGTGAAAACCGCAGGACCCGGATAAAAATGTACGCGACCACGGAGAGACACCGCAAACTCCAAAAATATAGCAGGCGTCAGGGTCTGGATCGAACCCACGACCTCCTGTATACTAGGCAGAGTTAGTTAACATCCCACCATAGTGGCGCCATAACAGTCCGTATCCCTCGGCCCTGGCCGCCTTCACCCCTGTTCAATGGGGGCGCCCAGCTTCGCTCCTTGAAGTGTGGGACAGAGGGAACAAAGTGCATCCCCTCTTCAGTGAGGGCCCATGGATTTTGTGACGCTTACTCACCCCGTTTGGATACTCAACTTTACGTTTAAAAAAAGTTTACCTGGATATTAATTTGCAAGGGGTATCCAAGATGTCAAGTGATACGTACACAAAATACAAGGTCACACCCGTGTTTAAATCTGCAATGTTTATATGGGCCCCCTTGGCTCACGGAACGCTGTCCTATAATGCTAACCTAGTTTGCTGTCCCATCATGAAAGACCGTCTCTTGCACCAGGGCTTCAGGAGCCATGCGGATGAGGTGGACCCAGAGCGGGTGCAGCAGATCATTGCTCGTGCTCTGCAGGACGCGCACTGGTTGCTCGACAAGGTGCCCGCGTCTTCCCCCCTCGGCGTCCGCATCTCCCCCCCGGTGCCTGTGTCTCCCCCCCCCCCTCCTCCCAAGTGCCTGAATTTCAGACAGCGGCTGCAGTTGTAAACCTCTGTTTAAATGTTGTATTCGTGAGTGGTGGCGCAGTGGTTAGCTTACTGCACTGAATGAACCAGGCCACATGAGTTTGATTCCCAGCAACGGTGAACCAGGGCCTTGTTATCCAAATTAAAAAAAGTAAAGGGCCTACGAAAAAAAATGGCCGTTGATTTTTTTGTTTGTATGAAAAAAGAACTCCATTAATAAAATGTGTTAATAATGAACGTATCAGTAAGGACATCTGTCCAGCGGCTGGACGAAGTACATGTGAAACAAGCGACTGACAGTGGCGAAACAGAAGTGCCAAGTGCCTACAAGAACCTTGATCCGACCCTACGGTGAACTCAAGTGGTTACTGAATTAATTGTCCCCCTTCCCCCGCAATGCACATGAATACAAGAGAGTCTCAATAATTAATGTCAGGAAACAGTCTTTAAAAGAGCCGGTTGGCCGACCCCTTTGTGTTTCTCAACGCTACGACCGGCAATCGTGTGGTTGAGAGTCACGCATGGTTAATTGGGCATTTCTTGAGAAAAAAAAAGACGTAGATCCGTGGATGTTTGCGTGTACCTCTGGTTGGTGACCATGTGCAGTGCCTGTGCATTGAGACGTTGCGACTTCTGAGGCAGCTTGTGACGTCTGCGGCGTGTGTCTTACAGTACAAAGTGAAACACGAATGAAGAGACGCACGAATGTGGGAAGCAGAGGATGCGGTTGCGATGGTGGCGAGATGGCCTCCCATATGAAGTCCTCGGGGAAGAACGTGTACCACGATTTCGGACGAATGCTGGAGACGCTTTCTATTTTATTCTCTTTAGAATTTACAGATGTGGGTAATTATTACTATTATAGTGGCGAAGTGGCCTTTTCAATCTGGCATAGTATGTTAGCCATCAAGGGCTGTGCTGTAATTCACTTAAATAATTTGTCCACCTTTCTTGATGAGGGATACATTTTCATAAAATACCACGGTGTCACACTTACTGGGACGGATCTGATTATTTTTTTCATCCACACTGGGATGTGGATGGTTCACATGTGTGTCAGACCATTGACTTTTCCCAAAAATCAACCATATGTTCTTACGCAATGGTTAATTACCTTCAATATGACTGCCCACGTGTATTATTTGGATTTTGAAATGGTGACCGCGAGGTTGCCTGATTCGTGGAACTGCCCATAAACACACACACATCGTGATACGTCATTATTATTAAAAAAAATGCGCATGGCTTTAAATTATCCTACGTATACTCAACAATGCTGTAATTTATCTTTGGTTCTTTCGGTAAAGTCACGTAGAAGAGATACAAATTAAATACTAGAATACGACGTTTCGACTGCAACACAAGCAACCGTCATCAGGTAGAACTAAATATGAGAGACAAAACATAGACACACAGACAGATACACAAGCAGAGAGAGACAACACAGACACAGAGAGAGACACACAACTATGTTGTGTTGCAATCGAAACGTATTCTATTATTACATTTATTTTTTTTCTACGTGACTTTACCGAAAGAACCAAAGATAAATTCCTGCAGTCACGAAAGCTTCAAATCAATGCTGTAATTCCTCTTCACAAATGCTTCGTGCAAAAAATGAAAAAAAGAGTTTGTGTAAATGTATTTTCTGCACATGAGGTTTTGTGAATAAATACAATATGTACATATAAAACCACGTACTGGTGTTTTATTATAATTTCAATCATGTTTATGCTGGGGATGCTTTGCATTAAGGTTTATCAATGGAATTGTGACTTCGCCAAATGATGGCACCAACCAGAACTCTGCGCTGGGAAGCCGAGCGAAAAGCCCAAATCTATGATTGTATAGGATTCAAGAGCTGTGCATGTGTAGCAAGCGAATCTGTATTGTAATCTGATGGAGTTCGTGAGAATCAGGATCAGCACTATGGATGAAAGAGGCTACACCTCAGTTCGTACAGGTGGCCCTGAAAACGTTTATCAACCCAGGAAAAATCTCCACTGACATCGCCGTAAATTGTTATGAGCCTGCAGTGCGATGATGATGAAGAAATGTCTTCAGAACAAGTAATGTGATCTTGCAGTGACTCCAGAATGTAGACTAGAGACAAAGATTACCCCGTACAGACTGTTGTTGCAAGTGCTATTAACGAGAACCTATTAAAGGCCAGCGTGACACACGAGGGGGTGGGTGGCCAGCACCATGCCCGGCCGCCTTTGTATCCCAGGTAACAATGTTAACACATCGCACCAGGTACTCATTTGAGGCTATGTCGACCTAGGGGAGGCCCAGGACCGATGCAGATAATCGCCTCTGGCGTTGGCCGTGAGTGGGAATCGAACCCGGGTCGCCGGGCTCGTAGCACAGTGCACTAACCGTTGCACTCCCCACAGCCTGTAGTGACACCAGCATGTAGACTGGAGACACAGCCTGTAGTGACACCAGCATGTAGACTGGAGACACAGCCTGTAGTGACACCAATGTGAAGAGGTTGCGATGAGTGGGGCACGCGTGCAGTAACTGGACGAATCAGAATAAGAATCAAAATCAGTCACCACAAGCATAAAACACTTTTGCTGTCACCCCAGAATCAGAAATTGTATTTATAGTGAAGGAATCCGATGAGCTATGAGGCTCTTTTTCACATGTCCAGTAGATTGTTACCTTTCGGACAATATCCTCCTCCAGCAAGTCAGACTGATGATACATCTGCCATTATCTCTCCACTGCTGAATGAAGGCATCCCACTTACGATCTATCACGATCGAGTGTTCACATTTCATTAAACCTTTTCACATTTCTGACTTGGATATCGTCAGCGATGGCCAATCCACTGCTGGATGAAGCCCCTTCCCAATCCGTCTCCATCTCTCGTGGTCGTGCGACATAACAATCCACACAAACTGAATTAATCACTCGATCCCCACGGTTGACGTCTTCTCAGGCATGCTTCCGCCTTCCTTGGCTTTGGTATCACCCGCATAAATAATGGATGTTGACACGTTAACTAAGCACAGCGTGCATATTTCTGAATGCTGGTGCTTTGCATTCAAAATGGTTTAAATGTAGATTATAGTATACAGTAGAGTTCCTTTGGCAGTACACTGTTGGGGGAAGGGCTCAGCACACCGTGTTCGTTACAGAGGTTTGTTTGACCAAACTTGACTACGCGTGTGTATCAGTGTGGGTTCGTGAAGTGGAGCGGATGCCCAGGGCTGATAGCCGTGGTCCCAGAATTGAACTCGAGCTCATAGCGCAGTGCGCTAACCACCGCACCACTGCTACCCCAGTTAAGAGACAAAAAAAAAGCAATTCCAGTACATTCCCATTGAGAAACTTTAGTTATGAACCTGATCGATACATATTCTTGGTTCTTTCGGTAAAGTCACGTAGAAGGGAAACAATAAAATAATAAAAATATAAAACAATAAAATTCTCACGACGTTTCGACTGCAACACAAGCAATCATCATCAGGTGTGAAAACCACAGCAAGACATTTTGAAAAAAGTGGCGGTTTTTAAATTATTTTATTGTTTTCCCTTCTACGTGACTTTACCGAAAAAACCAAGAATATGAATCCCTGCAGTCACGAAAGCTTTAAATAAAAATGATCAATACATACATGCTTTTGCACACTTTTAAAAACTAACTATAGTTTGAATTTGATTGTTTAAAATATAGCTTGTTTTGAATTATAAAATCAACAATAAATGAAGTATCTGTAAAGGGCAGTTTGGATTGTTCAAAGAAGTAAGAATACACACAAAATGCGCACATGAATAATACAATGTCAAGTTCACAAAGCTCCACACAGATTAATTCAAGAATCCACCATGTTTTGGCATCCACCTAGCCACCTTGCAAAACAGAGGATTTGGAATTTCCACAAATCTCCATGTGACCCACTAACCCCATGCCTTCAAAGCGTTGGGTTACAGATGTGCATCACCACACTTGGTACACAACATGATTGGTAAAAAAAAACATAAATAAAAACTTATAAGAACAAAATCCAATTCTGCGTCACCCAAATAGTCCATCAGACTGGCAACAATTGTTTAACCTGGCAAACTGGACCGGTTTTCATCTTCTGGCTATCATCATCACAGTCATGTTTGTTAAATCAATGTTTATGGGCTGTCAGAACTTATTGGCAAAAGCACTCCATATAAACTTTGGGACCTCGGTCAACATCAAAAAGCAATACCTGGTAGTATGTTTCACAGGTTTCACTTGTTTTCTATCGGCTTTAGTGTCACACTCTTCAAAAATGAAAACAAATTAGTTACTGGTAATATAATTATCATTCAAAATCTGCAACTAGGTCAAGGTTATAAAACATTTGGCCTCCTACATTTTGGGGGGAAAGCTCAATTTAATGTGAACCCATTTATCAATGGGAATAAGCTAAAACGTTTCATTATTCTCACTCTTCAAGCTGCAGCCACAGACTCTGCAACCCACTTCAGCGTCGTACCGCTCATTGTTCAGGCACTTGGTGTGACACATTGCGTGCTGGGAGCTTCTTTGGGCAAGTGAATTCAAGCGTACCACGAGCACGTGAATCATCCAGAACAGCAGGCGGTACAACCCCAAAAAAACAACAACCGAACACATTTACAGCAGAGGTATAACACTCGACTCGACTCTATTTGTACCCAATATCAGTTTGTTTATTTTTTTTTGCCCTTCGAGAATATCATTCGACCTCATACATCAGTGTCTCGCTCAGTCACAACTAGCAATACGTTCACCCAAACTTCGCCCAACGCGGATTCCCCCCCCATTGCGAATTTGACCATTCGCGGTTGACCCGCGAGATTCGCGGTTGACCCGCGAGATTCCCGTGTGCCTCGTAAAGAAGCAACCTTGCTGCTGTACTCTTCAATGCACGCTGCTGCCGATGATGCCACCGCGTAAGAATACATACACGGTGCCGTCATCATCATTCATAGTAAGTAAAAGCATTGATAAAAAATGTTAAACTGTATTACAGGTAGTCCCCGACTTACGACGGTCCGACTTACGATATTTCGATCTTACGATGGCGATAGCGATACGACCAAATTGTAAAAATATTTTTTTTATTTCGCGCGGCAGGCAAACGCAGCAGCGTTACGTGATACGATACTGTTACTTTATCATCGCCATCTTCCCCTTCCGACAACTAAGTTAATGTAGCCATCAACAACCTAACATCGTTAAAGTATGCAGCCGACGGACAGAATCTTGGTGAGTACAGTACAATATGATGGGTTACGGATACGTTCAATGCATTTATGATACATGGATTTAGCAATTTCATTTTAGGGTTACCACGATATGATACATACGTTCAATGCATGTAAAAAGTTTTTTTTTTAATAGCAGATAGGAGGATTGTTTCCTGAAATTGTTTTTCTATTAAATTGCAGTTCATATAGGTAGGCTAAGAATTTACCTTGTTTTTTTACTTAACATTTTATTGTGCAATACAGTATTGTAATTAATAAATACATACAGTATATAGTTTATACAGTACGGTACTGTAAACTGCTGTTTTGATAAATTATCACCATTCTTTAAGACTCCTGGGTAGGCTAGGCCATCTTCGACTTACGATATTTTCGACTTACGATGGGGTCGTCGTAACGCATCTCCATCGAAAGTCGGGGACTACCTCTATATTTACTGTACTTGTCGTTAACCTTATCTTTATTTTCAGGTTTATGTTTCTGTGTACAGTGTTGTACATTACATAAAAAATGGCATTCTATATAACACTATAGAAAATACTAATCATATTTTTACATTGAGAAAAACACCTATTGTTTATGTTTCAGCTGCCGATTGCAGCCATTTTCAAGAACGTAACCCTTGGCGATGGGCAGAAATGCGTTGTTCAATTTGTTATTTGTGTCTCATTGTTTTGGCTCAACAACGTGAGATGTACTCCAGTTTAATGTTCCCGATAAGTGATTCTGATTTTTTTTTTTTTACAGAAACTGGACGAAGACCCCCCCCCCCCCCCCCCCAACGAACAAACGAATGCAGTAACATTCAAGCTGGCAACCCATGACTTTATATGAAGGTTTACTTCAGAAACCTTTCTCATATATATACAAAAAAATCCGTAATCAAATTTCAAGACGTTCCTTTTTTTTCCTTTTTAACGTTTCACAGCATGGATCAAGCTAACTCTACGTTAATACATTTGCTTTGAAATTAAAAAAAATCAAATCACAGTTGCTGAGCTTATTCCCCAACGCTCCAAAAATGCCAAGCAGCCAGAAACGACCACAATACCACTGAAAGTTTAGTGTGCTCACTCAATAGATGTATGTACTGTAATTCTAACCGGTTATGAGAACTATAAGACGATGGGAGGGAATTAACAACGACAAAAAGTTGAGCGATGAACACGTTCACTTGTAGATGAAGGCCCCAGCTGTGTTGGTAGCACATTGTACGCCCACCCACACTAATTGCACATTGTAACGCACAATACAATCACACATTGTGCTAGTTGTACACTCGTTCGTTGATATGGTGTCATTTTTGTAGTATATGTAATTGTTTTACTTTCTGAGTCATTGCCTATTAAAGTATGATTAGTTTTTGTACAAAATGCATGAAACGCTCTTTGGCTCTACACATACATACATAAATAATATAATTAAGCACTCCGTGGTTTTGGCGTCTCCGCGTATAATAGACCGCAGGAGTGACCCGGCGGTGGAAATTCCACATTCCTATGGCTGAGGTTAGTTCGTATTTAAAGCAATCACAAGAATGTGGAAGATCCAAACCGGTGGCTGAGTAAGGGTGGACCAATGCTGCAAACGAGTGCCGTCCCAACGCTCATTTAAGAAAGGAGACGCGCAGGATTGCGGAGGATTTGTGGAACGATGTCTTACGATCATGGCTTAATTTCACCTTGGTCTGTCTGATTCACCGACCCGACACACCACACCGAGTAAATCCCTCGCTGTGGTACTGTGCTACTATTGCGCTACTACTGCTAGCCACGTGCCACTCTACCAGCGACACAGAAAATACTCGGTGAGAAATGACGCCCCTGTGCATATGATCGTCGCGGTCATCGTCCTCGCCGTCACCGCCACCGTCTCTACTGAGCGTTTTGCGTGGACCTCTGCAAGAAGGCGGCCAGCTTGTGCGGGTAATCGGTCATCACGCCGGTGGCTCCCAGCTCGAACGCACGCCTGTAGTCGCGGTCGTTGTTGAGTACAAACAGGCAGACCTAGGAGCGAAGAGACGCACGCACCGAAGGGGGAGCCGAAGACATTAATGACGATCAAAATATCACGCCGCCAAGGTGTGACGGTTATCACGCAGCGTGGCAGTTGGAAGAATAGTCGAGTGTCTTAAACCCCCCTGCCTCTGTCCACTCAGCACTATAAAGGGGTACACCACTTCTGGGCAGACATTGTATACAATACAGGCAGCAACAAAGACAAACTTATTATTGGTTATTTCGGTAAAGTCACGTAGAAGGGAAATAATAAAAATAAAACAATAAAATTCTCGCGACGTTTCGATTGCAACACAAGCAATCATCATCAGGTGTGAAAACCACAGGTTTAATTCTTTTTATATTCTTAGCTCTTTTGGTAAAGTCACGTTGAAGGGAAACAATAAAAGAATAAAATATATATAACAATCAAATTTTAATTGTTTCATTTTTATTTATCATTTCCCTTCTACGTGACTTTACCGAAAGAACCAAGAATATGAATCCCTGCAGTCACGAAAGCTTTAAATTGAAAGACAAACTTGTGACATCACTTGCACAGCTAGTTGGCATTCAGCATACGCTTCCCTTAGTTTGGATCCATCCATGGCCACCCAGGGGCTCCTGAAGGTGCTGTAGGTTTAACTCTACCGAGATCATGGGACAGGTGTGACTCTACTGCTCATGCGGCAGGTTTGACTCTTAACGATCATGGGGGGGGGGGGAAACGTAAATAATGTTTTGGTTCCCCTTTGTCAAACACGTGTTGGGTCGAAGGCATTCACACTGTGAACTCTGCAATGTGGGGTAAATATGGACGCGCCCTTGCTCACCTGAATTCCACGGTCGGTCAGGTGCTTGAAGAGGGCCTTGTTCATGATGAGTCTAAAACAAGCACAAAAACCTCATCGTCATCTGCCTCGTCTGTACGGCGCCGTCTGGGCTGCAGTGAAGAGTGCGACACAGGCGCAATGCCAAACACGCCATTGCTATTTCATAACAAGAAACAAACTCAACACATTCGTCAATAGCACTGTGGCATTTAAAGCACTGTCCCTGTCGAGTTTCCACTCTTCCCTCAAGAGCCACCTCTTCTCCCTGGCCCATCCCTCCATCCCTAGGTACCCCCATAATTCCCGTACCCACAAATCTCTCTCCCCATACCCCATCCCTATTCACCGTATCACTTTTAGCTACCCTCATTGTACCACTCGTAACCCTTGTCAAGCACATTGGATAAAGGCACTATATTTAGATAAGATAACAGGTGATATTTTGCGCAATTGCGTGTCTTTTTTTAAACGTATACATCGAGAGCATCGCTCTTTGTTTTGGTTATAACAGTTCTCGTATTTAAATGTGCTTGATAAATTGCAAAGCTAAATTAAAGTTAAAACAAACAAAATGATTTACATGTCTGCACGTAACTAGTAAAACTAACGTATTCTCCAGATTGCAAAACACACACATCTTTTTTTCTCGAATATTTTCAAGCAAAGGTTGGGGGGTGCGTCTTGTAATTCAGTAGCCGTGTGTGTGTGTGTTCGATTGTGTTGTGCGTGTGACCAGATTTATATAACTTTTTTGAGACCGGGCACGAGTTTGAGGGGTGGTTTTACTTTCCGGAGCGTATTATAATCCAGCTGGTATGGTAATGCACGTAGCCATGCGATGGCTTTACTGACCAAATCACACGATCGAATTTATCAGAGCACTGCATTATCGCACTTCGACCATTACAAGAACATTTTTTTAGCCGTGGCACACCACCTGAAGGGGAAACGAGTTAAGGGAAATAATGGATGGAAAAAAATGAAATGAACGAGAAAGGGAAGGGATGCCGGAAAAAAGAAAGCCTCCAAGACGGACAAAGAGGGCAGACGTCTCAAGACGAGAAGAAGCGAGAAATAGGTAGTGACAGGCAGGAAGGAAAGGAAGCAGAAAAGGGAACGACCGGGCCGAGATGTCAGGGATGAGAGGGTGATGACGAGGAGAAAGGGAATAGATGGAGAGAGAAGGAAGGAAAGAAGGAGCGAGAAGGAGTGAGCTGCATGCAGTGGCATCTGTTTTCACAGGGGGCCTGGGAGAGGGAAGGGAATCAGAGTGGGGGTGGCCACACAGAAGTCACGCGGTTTACGGGAGGCCTGAGTTGATTGAGATACATAAAGCAGGACTATATATATTTTGGGGGGGGGGAAGCCCTTCAACATCCGAAGCACCTGGGCTGCAGCCCCTAAAACCCCCGCGTCGATTCGGCCAGGGCGACAGGTGAGATGGGAGGCTCACCTGTCCAGGAACCCCACGAGCCACCTGTACCTGAGCATGCCATCGCCTTTCTCGGGAATGTAGGTCCTGTCAGATACAACACGGATGCTCGGTGAGCGGAATATTCAAATTTGGCGGCTTGGTGAAATATATATTCACTGATATAATTCAACGCGGAACAGCCATATTGATCTTTGATCCAGCACTACCGTAATTCACTCGAGACCCCTCGCTCGCTCGCTCGCTGACGGTTCGTTGCCGCCTTATCACTCTCCTATCGCTACTACCAACATGGGTGGCGGAATCAATCTGTCACTCGTTGATTCTGACACCCATGTTGAGGAATGGTTCTACCAGACTGACCGTTTCATCTCAACCACCACCACCACCAACACCGCAGGTCACAACAACACAATAACAACAACCACAACCGCCGTTCACCACTTAGCGGTGGCGACGTCACCACGGTGCTTATGCCAGGCTCGGTGCAGTTTGAGGCCACCACATTTCGCTGGTGATTACAACAATCAGCTTCATCAGGCGATCTCTGCCACGTTTGCTGGAAACCTGAATCCCATTCCCCACTGCTCCCCGCCCCTGCGCTGGCTTCACTGCTCAGTGTCAATGCCCAAGGAGTGAGTGGGAGTGGAGCGGGCAGGGTGCAGCTCGCACGCCAGTCACTCACGATTCGTGGACCCGTGCACAGCGGCTAACCGAACAGCTTTGACAAACGCGAAGCCGGTTCATCCCGCGTGAAACCCGGACGGTCCACATTCCTCACTTTTCACCGCCTCGCCCCGCGCAACCGTCGAAGAAAGTAAATAACTCGGCACCGTTGGGTCACCTCGCGCCCGCCAAAGGAAGATGCCATCGAAGGGGCCACGCTCTGGACTGAAAGCCGAGCTTGCGCACAGCGTGACACCAACCGTGGCAGCAAGGCCGTAATTATAATATGCTCAAAATGTCCCCTCCAATATATTGCTATAAAAATAATAATTGCTATGCTATGTAAATAAAAAGAACAATTTGATAAACCTTGGCCACAATATCGGGATTTGTCTTCATATAAATCAATGCATAGATTTATTTTTATATGATTGTGGTTATGGTTGTTCTTTATTAATCCCTAATCTCTGCCATTACATACAATGAAACAAGAAATGGTACAAAAGTAAAAACAGACCAATGTAATACAATACACTATTAGACATTATTGTAAAAAAAAAAGTCCATCTCATGTGTTAGTGACTTTTTTATATTTTAGGCAGGAAATTCGTTTTCAAATTTAGATATTTTTCTGGGTTGAGACCCCCAAACACTCTGGAAGATTTGGTCCCCCCCAATGTTGACTCCATGGCTACGGCCTTGCGTGGCAGCATCGCGCCGAACGCGATGTGTGCACAATAGCAACAATGGTATTGTGCACATGGGCACGTAGCACTCGGATCGTACACGTTGTGGGTTTACGCTCCACCACACCGGTGTGCTGAACTGGTAACTAATCGGCACGTTTTGTTTTACGTGACAAACTTTACTAACTGGCTTTGTCAGTTTAACACGCAATGACTTTCGCGACCAATATCATCCATAAAATGGGGGTCTTTGTGGGTTAGATCGCGTAAATACAAATGTGTCGTTAAACCCACCACCATCTGACACATCCGATTCCAAGTACTCAGATTGTAAATGTTGTGGATTTGTTCTCCAACACACCGATGTGCTGTACTAGTAACAAATTGGCACGTTCTGTTTGCGTTACAAACCTTACTAATTGGCTGTGTCGGGTGGTGGCGGGTTTAACGACACATTTATATTTTTACGGGATCTAACCCAAAAAAATCCTCTTATTACTGTGTTAGTTTTACGTGGCAACCCTTCCGCAAACTAACCCAAAACAACAACAAAAAACCCTCTCTATTATAGACCGATGATGGTCTGCTGTGCTTCCCAGGCGAAGCCAAGCTGCTACCGCGCGGTCGTCACCTGTAGCATATGGAGGGCATGATCATCTCAAAGAGCGACTCGGGCAAGGGCATGAAGGGCAGCAGCCCCGTGTAGAAGAGCAGCAGCAGGGAGTAGATGCGACCCGTGGCGAACATGGTGGGCATCCGAGGGTTCTGTTATGTCACACACACAGAGACAAAGACAAAGATCCCCCATGTAGCCTTCACAGACTGTTGGGGCAAGTGCTGTTCGCGAGTAGTGCCTATGAAGGCTGGCACGAGAAAAGGGACCCAGCCGACTTTGGCTCCCCAGTGCTGATGTTTACACACCGCACCAGGTACTCATTTGAGGCGGAGTCGACCGTGGGGAGGCCCAAGACCGGTTCAGATAATCGTCACTGATTTTGTCCGTGAACGGGAATCGGACTCGGGTCGCCGGGTTCGTAGCGCAGCGCGGTAACCGCTACACTACAGCTCCCCACACACAGACACATACAACAACAACCGCCATTCGCCACTAAGTGGCGGTGATGTCACCACGACGCTTGTGCCAGGCCATGTGCACCTTGAGGCCACGTGAGGTGTCGAACGCCCACTGGCAGGAGGTCAAGGGGCAGACCCAAGTGCCACGGGTCGACTGTGCCAACCTGCTGTGCTTTAGCCAGCCGGCGCTCTGCTCGTTGTTGTGAGCATCGCTCCGCCCTTCGATGTAGTTGGAGGGCGACTGCCTCCAACTGCCCAGTAGCATCCTTCACGAGCCTCCTCCACAGAGGCCGATCTTGACACCGCTAGTACCAGTCATCGGCAAGTCCACTCAGCTCCACGTCCTCCTGTACCACATCACTCCATCTCTTCTCTAGCCCGTGCCGCGCCCGTTTTGCCCCCTCTATCCGGCCAAACAAAAGCTGTTTAGGCATGCGGTGGCTGGGCATGTGGGCTACATGTCCCAGCCAACGCAGCCTTGCCTGCCAGAGGAGCTCACCGATGGGACCGTGTCCAGATCTTTCAAGGATTTGTGAGCTCCTCACACAATCCAGCCTGGTTAAACCCAGGATGGATCGTAGGCAGGCTAGTCTAAATGTTTCTAACCGGCGAAGATGTTCCATCAGGGGGGTCCACGTTTCGCAAGCGTAGAAAAGGGAGGGAATGACCATGGCCAAGAAGACCTGAGGCTTAGTGCGGAGCGACAGACCAAGTAGCTTCCACACAGCGTTACGCAACCGATGAAAAGATATTGCCGCTTGCCTAATTCGGAGTGAGACCTCTGCTGTTAAACTGGAGCCGGTCATAAGCACACTGCCCAGGTATGGGAAACTCTCCACTCTCTCCACAACTGCCCCATCACCGATTGGGAGTTGTGGGGGTGGAGTGTCCGATGGTACAAAATTCCCAGGCAGGTGCTTAGTTTTGGTGGGGCTGATGGTAAGGCCCCATCTCTTAGTGGCACATTCCAGTCTCAGCAGCAGCGTCTCCAACTCCTCCTCTGAATGAGCAGCTATTACCAAATCATCGGCATACATAACGTGGTTGAGCAATAGGGAGCCATCCTTTGACCGCACCCGGGCATCGATCAGCCTCCCATTATATCTGTACCAAATGGAGATTCCCTCGGTACAGCTATTGAAGGCTTCACGAACTACGTGGTCAAAATATATGTTAAATAATGTGGGAGCCAGAGGACATCCCTGTCGCACCCCAAGGTGTACAGGGAATTGCTCTAACTCCCGGCCACGTAGTTTTATCCAGGCCCGCTCACCATCATGGAGGTCCTTAATGATCGTGAGCAGAGGGTCAGGGACTGAAAAAGCACGACGAACAACCCAGAGTCCAGGCCTACTGATGGTATCATAGGCCTTGACCAGGTCAATAAAGCAGAGATGTAGGTCTTGTTGGAATTCCCTACACCTCTGCTGTAGCAGACGGACAGAAAATATGGCATCTGTGCAGGACCGACCTTTCCTGAAACCGCATTGGGGCTCCGCAAGCCTCTCCTCAGCGTGCCTGGCAAGGCGATGTTGAATAATCCTTGCCAGGACCTTTCCCGGCACACTGAGGAATGAGATGCCCCTGTAGTTGTTACAGTCTGTGCGGTCCCCCTTCTTAAAGAGGAGGACCACCAGGGCATCCTTCCAATCCTGCGGAACCCGTCCAGTGGTCCAGACTGTTGTTATGATGTCATATAGGGCAGTCTGTGCAGAAACGCCACCCTCCCTCAGCATTTCGCTTGGGAGATCATCTCTGCCCGCTGCCTTTCCTGGTCTCAGACTCCAGATCGCCTTCAGTACTTCCTCAAAAGATGGCACCTCAGCCAGCTACCCACAAGGGGTGACTTCTTCCAATATTTGAGGCACCGCAGCCTCAGCAGGGTCATCCCCACTTTGTGCCACGATGTTTTCATGGCTGAGGGATTTCCCCTCCCCTAGGACCTCACAGAAATGCTTAGCAAATCTGCAAACCTGTTCCTGGGGGGCAGAGATTGGATCACAGTTTTTTCCCCTAATGATGGTAATAGGTGTGATGCTGCAGGTTAATTTTTGCAGTAAAATAGGCATTTGTGATCGCGGGCCACTGAGGCAAACTCCATCTCCTCAGCAACCCACGACCACCATCCATCCTTGCAGCGCCTCACGGCTCTCCGAACCTCTGAGCGAAGGCTGCGGTAAGCCTCCTCATTCTCTGACGTGGGATTCTGTAGCCGATGACAGTGGGCCTGTCGCTATCCTGAACACCTCTGTCAGCCAGGGTCTCTGGGGAGGTCTGGACCGCGTACCCAAAGCAGCCATTCCAGCTGCTTGAGTCACAGTCTTAAACCTCGCCCATTTACCCTCAACATCAAGTGGAGTGGGGGACGATGCCAACCCCAGCCGCAAGCGATGATTAAATTCTCACTTGCAACTTTCATCAGCTAACTGAGGCCAGGCCACTTTAGGTTGGAATGGGGTCCTGGGTGTACACCCACCACCGGAGTGGAAGAATGGCAGGCGCATCTTACAAATGACTAGTCGATGGTCAGAGGGCAGATCAGCTCCACGGTAGGTCCTGGTGTCAAGGACATGGGCTCGCATTCGCTGGTCCGTCACTATGTAGTCCAGCAGATGTTCTTGCTTGGACCGGCATGCATCCATGATGTTGTGTGGATGCGCCGATGCCGGCACAGCGTGTTGGTAATTACAAGCCCAAGGGCTGCACAAAAATCTAGCAGCCTCCTACCGTTGTTATTGAGCTGATCTGGCCCATGCCCTCCAATCACTCCAGACCAGGTGCCAGCATTATGACCAACTTGGGCATTGAAGTCACCCAACAAGATGACTCTATCCCGAGGGGCCACTTTAGCCAGCACCTGTGACAGGAGGTCATAGAAGGCATCTGACTCATCGGCTTTGCCTGCATCCCTCCACGGATGTTCGTCTTCGGTGGGGGCATAAGTAACCACGACCACCACTCCTCGCCTCCGGTTGATGGGAAGGCGAGCCCAAAGTAGCCTGGGGCTTACAGCTTCACACACCTCACCGCCATGCTCCCACGCCCCCTTCATTCTTTTGTTCAAAAGAAGAGCCACACCCTGTTGTTTGGCAGTCTGCAGCCCCGAGTAGAGGACTGTCCACCCCTCATGGTGGCAGGAGCCAGAACCGGTCCACCGGACCTCCTGAATGCCACAGAGATCCAGGCGGTACCGGTCCAGCTCCTGACAGAGGAGTGGCAGCATCTCTGCAGTGAGCGTTCGAACATTCCACGTGGCCACACGAAGTGGCTTTTCGTTGTTTCTGGAGGAGCCCCGAGGGTGGAGATTCAATCTCCTGGCTCTGACAATTGGGGTTTGGCCAGGAGACATCATAGACGCCTGTCCCCCCGGGGCCTCTGGCACAAGCTTATTAGTTACATATTTCATTCGTGGTTTTGTGGTAATTTATTGAAGGTGGAGGGGTTACCAGCCCCTCGCACCCATCCAGAGCCCCCGTTTAGCCAATGTGGTGGTCACAGACGCCATGAGGGGAGAGGCCAATTGGAATTGGCCCTCCCCCCACAGCACTGTCCACGACAGAGTTGCCCGTCCGGCACCGCGAGGAGATAGGGGGTTGTTTTGCCGGACACACAGACACATGCACAGTCACACACAGACACACGCACAGTCACACACAGACACATGCACAGTCACACACAGACACACGCACAGTCACACACACACGAAGACAGATCACCGTGGAGCCCTCTATTGGCAAAATTGATGAAAAGAAATTCACACCTTGGATACATAAACCAAAACAAAAGGGCGGGTACATTAGCATATCTGATCCACACCAAATACACATTTTAAAAAAAGTTTGTCAGGAAGCTGCCCCATCCATCGGCTTCCCTCCTGCGGAGTTGATGCTTTCAATGGAAAGCGCATGGGCGGAAAGCACTCACAAGACCACAGGCTCAAAGCGTCGAGCGGCCAGAAACAAGCAGCACTATAGAAAGCATACGAACCAAAAGTGATCTCACGCTTAAATGACCATTGAAGCAGTGTGCATCGCCTGTTTACAGCCCCGAAGCAATGGTGGAACTTCCGCTCGCCCGTGGCGGGCGGCGAGTCTGGAGATTGTGGGTTTGATCCCGACCCTGATGCCTGCTGTATATTTTGAGTTTGCGTGTTCTCCCTGTGGTCGCGTGGATTTTTCTCCGAGTCCTTCGGATTTTTCCTCCACATTTAGAATCCACATCACGCGTTTCGATAATTTTGCTGCTCTAAATTTCCACATGATAAGCCACTTCGTTGAGCTATCATTTGTGGCCAGGTCGCTTCTTAAAAAACAGTGATATAGCTCAGAGGGCCTTACCTGGTAAAATAAATATAGTTTAACTTCGTTTCTATACGTAGGACAACTACTGTTGACTTCATCATTAGACCTCCTTTGCCAGTACCAAATATAATAATAGGGTTTTTCCCCTTTTTTCTGGCAACAAAACTGAAACCTTTTTACAAGGATTCATGTCTTCTGGCGTCATGTGGTCGAGCACCAATTGGGTCGAGGCTCAAAAGAAAGCCGTCCCTTGGTGTGGACCAATCAGTTTCAAGGACAATGCATATATTATCATAGTATGTTTTTTGTTTGCATTTTGACTGCAGGTATTGTGGTTAATGCAGACATGAATCCTTGTAAAAAGGTTTCAGTTTTGTTGCCAGAAAAAAAGGGGAAAAACCCTATTATTATACTGTTGACTTCCCCATGAAGTGGTACTGATTTTATCAACCCCGGTGCGATGATGGCCTGAGTCAATCCCCAACCACGATTTGAACCTTGCAACCTTTTTGACGGCGCGCTGCTCGCCTCTGCCACTGCCGCACCTCTCTCCCCCGATCGAAGCTGTAACAGATCAAATTAACGCGCCCCTTGGAATTGAGCAAAAGGTTGTTGTTCTAAACGACTTGGGCAGAAGAGAAGATAGAAAGGGAATCTGAAAGTCGAGCAGTGTGCGAGCGGGGAAAAAGCAGAGTGAGAAGCGTTTAGTCCTGTGCGGCGGTCGTGGTCGAACGCAGTGGGATGATGGGTGGGACAACGAGACAAGTCTCGTAGGCCTACTGGCCATCTGTGGAAAGAAAAAAAAGAGAGCTTCGTAGCGAATCGGATTCCTCAACACGGGCGGTAGGGATCAGTGCGTGAAGTTCCAAGGAGCAGCGACCACGGCGGCAGCGAGAGAACACCGCCACCCCGCCCCGCACGAACGCACGGAGCGGAGACGCCGACGAGAACTCACCGCCACCCGGCACTTGAGCATCACCTCCCAGATGGCGCTCGCCCACACCGTGCGGTCCTCCCGCCCGAACTCCTCCACCAACTCCGCCACCTGCAGCCCGGAGCACGGACATCGAAGCCCTCAGTGGCGCAGAGGGGCCCCACGCACGAGGTCCGTTATGGGCACGTAATTCTGACCCCCCATCCCCGGTGACTGCCGCTGTTGTTGATATTAGGTGTAGGGCTAGCGTCTGGTTATCTAGTGTAGTGCAGTTAGTATTAGGGATAGGGGTAGTGTCTGGTTGTTTACTGTGGTTAGTGTTAGGGGTAGGGATAGTGTCTGGTTGTTTACTGTGGTTAGTGTTAGGGGTAGGGCTAGTGTCTGGTTGTTTACTGTGGTTAGTGTTAGGGGTAGGGTTAGTGTCTGGTTGTTTACTGTGGTTAGTGTTAGTGTTAGGGCTAGTGTCTGGTTGTTTACTGTGGTTAGAGTCAGGGGTAGGGTTAGTGTCTGGTTGTTTACTGTGGTTAGTGTTAGGGGTAGGGTTAGGGGTAGTGTCTGGTTGTTTACTGTGGTTAGTGTTAGGGGTAGAGTTAGTGTCTGGTTGTTTACTGTGGTTAGTGTTAGGGGTAGGGCTAGTGTCTGGTTGTTTACTGTGGTTAGTGTTAGGGTTAGTGTCTGGTTGTTTACTGTGGTTAGTGTTAGGGGTAGTGTCTGGTTGTTTACTCTGGTTAGTGTTAGGGGTAGTGTCTGGTTGTTTACTGTGGTTAGTGTTAGGGGTAGTGTCTGGTTGTTTACTGTGGTTAGAGTTAGGGCTAGTGTCTGGTTGTTTACTGTGGTTAGTGTTAGGGGTAGGGTTAGTGTCTGGTTGTTTACTGTGGTTAGTGTTAGGGGTAGTGTCTGGTTGTTTACTGTGGTTAGTGTTAGGGGTAGTGTCTGGTTGTTTACTGTGGTTAGTGTTAGGGGTAGTGTCTGGTTGTTTACTGTGGTTAGTGTTAGGGGTAGTGTCTGGTTGTTTACTGTGGTTAGTGTTAGTGTTAGGGGTAGTGTCTGGTTATTTACTGTGGTTAGAGTTAGGGGTAGGGTTAGGGGTAGTGTCTGGTTGTTTACTGTGGTTAGTGTTAGGGGTAGAGTTAGTGTCTGGTTGTTTACTGTGGTTAGTGTTAGGGGTAGAGTTAGTGTCTGGTTGTTTACTGTGGTTAGTGTTAGTGTTAGGGCTAGTGTCTGGTTGTTTACTGTGGTTAGAGTCAGGGGTAGGGTTAGTGTCTGGTTGTTTACTGTGGTTAGTGTTAGGGGTAGGGTTAGGGGTAGTGTCTGGTTGTTTACTGTGGTTAGTGTTAGGGGTAGAGTTAGTGTCTGGTTGTTTACTGTGGTTAGTGTTAGGGGTAGGGCTAGTGTCTGGTTGTTTACTGTGGTTAGTGTTAGGGGTAGTGTCTGGTTGTTTACTCTGGTTAGTGTTAGGGGTAGTGTCTGGTTGTTTACTGTGGTTAGTGTTAGGGGTAGTGTCTGGTTGTTTACTGTGGTTAGTGTTAGGGGTAGTGTCTGGTTGTTTACTGTGGTTAGTGTTAGGGGTAGTGTCTGGTTGTTTACTGTGGTTAGTGTTAGGGGTAGTGTCTGGTTGTTTACTGTGGTTAGTGTTAGGGGTAGTGTCTGGTTGTTTACTGTGGTTAGTGTTAGGGGTAGTGTTAGGGCTAGTGTCTGGTTGTTTACTGTGGTTAGTGTTAGGGGTAGGGTTAGTGTCTGGTTGTTTACTGTGGTTAGTGTTAGTGGTAGGGCTAGTGTCTGGTTGTTTACTGTGGTTAGTGTTAGGGGTAGTGTCTGGTTGTTTACTGTGGTTAGTGTTAGGGGTAGGGTTAGTGTCCGGTCAGCTGGTGTGGGTGACACCTGAGTGTTCTGTGCGTATCCAGAGAGGGCGGCACCTTGTTGATGGTCTCGTCGTTGTCCTCCTTGATCTCAACGTTGATGGCCAGATCGGAGAACTTCTCAAAAACCTCACGCAGCGTGGGGATTCTCCGGTCTTTGGACGCCTTGTTGAAGTGGCCTGCGGGAGACACCGGAGAGAGACACGTGACCAAACCGAGCCGGCACTCGAGCCCTGAACATCGTCATTCTGCGGTTAATGAATTTGGACATCTGTGAAGAACCGTAAAAACTACTAGATATATATGTGAAAAAAGAGCTTCATAGCTCATCGAATTCCTCCAGTCTAAACAGATTCTGTCTGTGACTCTCCCCGATCTTTAATTATGCGAGCAACCCGAAAACGTTGAATGTTTCATTTTTATTCATCCGGTTACTGGATTTGCAATTCACCAGAGTGTGTGTGTGGTGGGGGGAGACCAAAGAACAAACGGTGGGACACTGTTAGGGCCGATCTAGGAGGTCACGTGGCCATAACAGGGCAGCCACGGCGGCATGTGGCACATGGTACAGGCGAGGTTCGGTGGCACCAACGGCTTGGCCATGACGATCATCTTTATCTCTATTCGAGTTCTAACAAGTGCGCTTTACTTGAGCGTCTACTTGTTTACTCCAGCAGGCGCCACGGTGGCTAGATGTCGACTACCTCGCCTGCTATACAGGAGGTCGTGGGTTGGGTAAAAGTATGTTGAAAAACAGCCCAAATGTCCATGGCATGCTGAATAATTAATATTTCAAGTTTTGCATCAGTTCAATAGAAAAATTACTGAGATTAAATATATGAGACGTTATGCGTGGGACTATTTATCCAGTCAGGTGGCTCAGTGCTACAGCGAGCAGCTCACAATCGGAAGATTGAGAAATTCACACTCTATAAAGTGGATGACGCAGCCCATCATCCCTCTGAGGCCGCCTATCATCCCTCTGAGGCTGATAAAAACTAGTACAACTTTGCGGGCTAGACTCGCCCCTGGCATAGGAATGTGGAAATACACCACTGGCTCAGGGCTGTAAACAGGAGATGACCATTGCATCAATGCTCATTTAAGCAGGAAATCACTTTAAATGTATTGTTAAACCATTGCATTTAGACCCAGCAGGACAAATGATAATAATAATAATGTTTGTGCAGTAATTAAACGCAGTGAACCTTGGTCGAATGTGATTTCGAGTTTGTCCTTGTATATGGGCAGCTCCTGAAAGAAAAAGAAACACAGACTTGTGTCTTACGATACACATAACATACACGGTACATAGCACAGTGGCTCATGAAATACTTTGCTCTTACAAAAAACTTGTGCCTAGAACATGAATACATTAACGGCCAGATCGCTCGCAATTCGCCAAATCTCATTACATCTGGAAAGCTAAGCAGGCTTTCTTTTGGGCCTTGTTAGTCCTTCGATGAGTGCCCACCTTGCGTCCGCTACTTTAGGCCTCTGCTATTGGGCCACTGCTGTACGCGGCAGAGCTGGTACTCCCAAATCTGTGCTCCACCGTCTTCACCGATCAGCTTGGCGAAGAAATACGCGGTCAAACAAAGCCCGCGACCCGCACGGCGTGGGTGAGGCCCTCATCCAGCAGTGTATTGACAAAGAGGGCTGATCTTGTGTAACACAGTCCATTCGCCTATAACGCGTGTGGTTTTCGTAACGCGAACTGTATATAACGCGATTAATGTATTAGGCAACACATTTTCTTATAGCGTGGATGCGAAGTGGATATGACGTGACTGATGCTTCTAGATGCTACCCACGCGCCTCAGTCTTTGTTCGGCCTGCGTACGCATCTCACGTGCTATCGCGGACTGTGCTTTACCCCATGTTATATATTGTCTATTATCACGCATATTTCCCATAACGCGGTGTTCTTCAGGAACGCAACTACCGCGTTACAGGAGAACAAACTGCATGAATGCACACGACTTCGTATCCCCCCACAGTTCCCCCTTTCCCGCCTCCCTCCCTTTGCCACCCTCCCCCCCCGCCACCCCCCACAAATGACCCTTGACCTCACATCGAAGTTGAGGTCACGGATGCGCTGCGATCTGCCCGTGGCCCGCCGGAGGTCGTCATCGTGCGCCACCACGATCACCCCGTCCTTGGTGACTTGGACGTCGAGCTCCAGAACGTGCGTGCCGGCCTGCCTCGCGCTGACACAGAAGACATCGCCACAGGTCGCTTCCTTCTTTCTGTCAGATCCCGCAGGCTGTGGCGTGGCCGGACGCTCATTCCACACCCACCCGACCCCCACAATACGGACAGCTCTTATGGTGTGACAATCATCAGCATCATTATCACCGCCACCGCCGCCACCGTCTGACAAGCGACACAGCTGGTGGGTCCTTCAAGGGCAGCTCTTGTCGTGTCATCGTTTTTACCGTCCTGACTGTGACAAAATAAACGAGCAGAGATTGCGCGCCTTCGTCGTGTACCTGTCCCTCCAGATAACAAAAAAATAAACATTAAAAGGTATTTTTGACACATTCCGTCAGGCCATACGGCCTTCTGGGAGGGCATCATTTGAGCAGCATTGATTCAGTACAAGGAACCTCTGGAGCGATTTTTGGGACACTCAGTGGCCCGTCAGCATGGTCGGCCTTGCTTGAATTGATGCAGTTGATAGAACATGGCTGCTGATGATGGCAAAGTGAAAACCAAATTCAGCTTGAAGAGTAGTTTTTTGTGTGTGTGTGTGTGCGTGCGTGCATTCATTATTATTGACCGGGCTGAGGCCATCACCTCGCTACGCTTGAGAACCCGGTTTAATCACGGGCGGATACAACTCAAAAGATTCGAAGCCAGCTTGCTCAGCAGTGTTCGGCTCATCTCCTGTGCTGTGGAATTTGCCCTCTGAGCCGCAATGGACCTCGTGGCAGGGACAACGCTCCGTGCTCCATTCGTCACTGGTGATTTGAGGTAGGGAGTATAAAACAGTCGTCACGATACGATTAACACCAGGGACCCGAAATCCATGCACTGTGGGATCGAGCGGAAGTCCTCAAAGCGCGCCATCCTCATCAAAAGCCGAGTCACAGTGGAGAGCAACCTGGGACAAGACCAACGATGCCCTTCACGAGCGGAAGAACATCCCGGCTTCACTTTTTACCTCCGCAAAACAATAGCCTCGTACCTAACCACGCAAGAACATCCCATGGCAGACGCAGCTACCTCCTGCTACACCGATGCGCGGTCACGAATAGCCGACAGAGTGACTGCAGTCAGCTCATATAGCAACGCCGCTCTGGCACTTCGATCGTAGAGCCCACCGCTGCCCACTCCATGTCAGCCGATGGGTGTCCCATGTGAGCCGATGGGCCTCGATGCACGCCTACGTGGGTCTCGGTGTTGTGAGCCCGTGCAGCAAACCGTGGGGGCACACAGAGTAACCAACAATCACCGCACGTTTTTGATCATTCGCTGGCGGCCCGTTTCGCACGTTCACCAGGCAACACGTTCACCGGGCGACCCCTGGAAGCCGCGTCTGACTCGCTCACTCGCCAAGCTCGGCACGGACGTATGCACACACACTACGTTGTTGTTGCTGTTGTTGTTGTCGTTCAACTGCCCAGCACATGATAGACAAACCACAAAGTGGTAGTTTCAGGTAATTACTAAAATGAATCACGTGGAGAGAGAGAGAGCTGTAATGTATACACACAGCACACACACCCCGTGGGCGGGTCGTAAACATAACGCGGTGGGGCGGCGACAGCGCCTTGGCCGCCTGGTTTGCAGAGATTCACGGTTCGAGTCCAACGGCCGCCCTGGTTAATACCGCGGGTGTATTTTTTCCGTAAAAAGAGACATACTGCGCGGCGTTCGCATCCCCAAGTGGACGTTCGATATTCCGTGACGGCGTTCCCAAGGGGTTTGACCATGCTGCGCCGGCGTCACGGTGACAAATGTTGCAGATCTTTAACCAGGACACATTTACTCAATTTGAATGTATAATACAGAAACATGGAAATTATCACTCGCTGTGAAACGTTGGCAGGACTCTCCTGGGACTCGGTGAGGCTTTCCCAGGCGAAAAAAAAACAAGCATCGTCATGAAATCATGAATAATGACGCCGAGGCAGTGCTGCCTTCACACCTCCGATTAGCACAGTTGGCTGCGTACGGTGCAAAAGAAGTTCGTTTGTATGTATGTTGAACACCTTTAGGCACCGTACGGAATTTGCAGCAGCCAAATAGTCTAAACGCATGTTTCTGAACGTGGAGGGAAAAAACCGCAGCACACGGAGAAAAGTCCACGCAAACACGTGGAGAGAGACACGCGAACTACAAATATACAGCAGCAGCAGGCGTCAGGGTCGGGATCGAACCCACGACCCCCTGCACACCAGGCGAGGTAGTTAACATCTCCTAGCCCACCGTGGCAAGCGATATCGGAAGATGTTGCGGAGCTTGGATTTATAGTGAGAGACAGAAAGAGGCGCACGGTAGATGAGTGAGCGTACGCATGTGAGTGACATCGTGTTGACGGCGAAGAGACGCAAAGTACACACCGCACACACCCGACTGACACCTCGCTCACCGCACGCCGCTCGGCGCATCCACAGGGTGCACGAGGCGAGCTGATGGTGGCTGAATGATGACGTTGATGATGATGATGGTGGTGGTGCTGCTGATGTCCGTGCAACGAATGACGACGATGATGGTGATCTTACAATGACAGTTGGTGATGCTGTTGCTGCTGCGATGGCAGTGATGGTGCACAATCAGCAATTAACAACAACAACAAAACACCCGACACGTTCGCCCTATAGCAACACCGTTGACCTCAAAGGGAAAATATGTAAGTGGCAAAGTTTAGGGATGTGGTCACTCTTCGTAGTGAACGTACATTCCATTTCCCGAAAACGCGTAAAGAGTGCTATCGAAGGCCATTGGTTAAACCGTCACCTTTTAAATACCGTATGCGTTTTATTTAAGGCTACAGTGTTATTATAATGTGTTGAGTATTGTTATTGTAGTATGATGGCAATACAGCGTTTGAAAAGTGCATAACAAGTCTGAATTAAACGTACATTATAATAGATCATGATGCAACGTGTGCGTGGATGATTGATGATGATGACATTGATGATGTTACATTTCGTGATTATGTTGTTCATTGTACGTTATAGGATAGAACGATGCGTGTGTTGCTCAAGTCAAGATGAAGAAGATAACGCGGTTCCGCTGTTGCGAAATGCTCGCGTGTTACGAATACAGAAAGGCGCGATAACTTCCCCAAACAGGGCACGGTAACCATGTCGCGGTTCGCACTTTACATTGGCTTTATTATTTGCATGAACAAACATCCTCAAACAGAACTGCAGGGCACGCAATAATTTAAAAAATGAATGTGTCTTTTGATGCCAACTCTGTCCTAAAAGCTGGGTCTGGAAATGTCAGCAATCAAATTAGTCTTTGATAGATTTGAGTTTCCGTGATGTTAACATATAGCGCAGCACGAAATATGTGCTGTATATTTGTTTTTAATGTGTATCGTGTTATAATAATAGTCAAAAATGACAGCGCCTTTGCCAATCCACTGCTGGATGAAGGCCGTCCCCATGTCGTCTCGGTTATTTGGCCATACTTCACCATGCTGACCGACGCATGGCGAAGTAAAGTAGAGAGCGGGGGGAGCGGGGGGGGGCAACACCTTGCAGTTCAGATATCGCTCGCCACTGATGTGAGCCGTGGCTGGGGATCGAACTTCGGTTGCCGTGTTCATTACGCAGCCTCCACGAACTACTGCGGCATCCATCCATGTCCCATATAAAGCACAGGGCAGAAATTTCATGAAGCCCTCCGCTGAGAAGCCCTCCTCCTGTGGAGGGATTCTCAGCGCTTTCCGCCGCGCCCCCACTCATGTCCTCTTCTCCCCACCCCCCCCCCCCATGTGTGCAGATACTACTGACTCTACTGTATGTAGGATGTGTAGGTGACTCTATAGTAGATACTACTAAATCAGTAGCTCCTACTGACTCTATTGTATGATTGTATGTAGGGTGTGTAGGCATAAAGGGGCCGTCCATAAATGAGGTCACGCGATTTTGGACAATTTTTGCCCCCCCCCCCCCCCCCTTCGTCACACGACGTCACAAGTCAGACCGCCCTCAAATATGACGTCACAAAGCTCTGCCCCCCCCCCCAAATAAAGAAAACAATCTTCAAATCGCTTTAAACTATTGTCATTTCAGTGCATATTTATTGTGGCGCTGCACTGTGGTGTTGTAGGAGAAAACATTTATTAAAAAGTATATTTAATTAAGTAGAACGTGTTGTCTATATTTATTTAAAGTTGCGCATTTTGATGTGACGTCACATTTCTCGACCCCCCCCCAGATGCGTGACGTCATTTATGGATGGCCCCATATGACTCTCTTGACGGCATCTCCATGCAATCGGCGGTAGAAGAGCAGCATTTACTGTATCTACTAAATTAGCTTTGCCACGTGGTTGGTCGGTTGACCTCCGTTTAGACAATTTAGTATTTAGATTGTTTTGCTGCTGTAAATGACCAAACGATGAGGCAATTTGTTGCGCTATCATTTTGTGGCCAGGTCGCTTTTGACAAACAAGTGATTACCTCAGTGGTGTTTGCCTGGTAGGATGGGAATGGTTTAGTTTTATTTGTATCTGTTTGGGTGATTTTGTTTCCTCTTCTTGTACTTTGCACTCCTGTCGTGCTTTTGTACTGTTTGTTTTCGAGCGTTCTTACCCTGCCGCGCACTGGACATCCGTGAAACAGTAGCTTAACAGCTCCTCCGGTATAAATAAATATTCTGATATTCGCAGAAAAATGCACCCTCGATAATAAAGCGGCCCTTGAGCTCCTCTGGGTTGTGCCGTGCTTGCCCCGTGTACTTGAGGCGTCACAACCCGACAGGGTAGCCTTCAACTCAAAGGGGTCTTCATTTCCTCTAGCACAAGAGACACGTGTCTTCAAGGATCCCTTTCGCTCCAAGCGTCCCGAACTCTCACGCTTCGACGATATATGTCCCTCAAGCCCTTTTTTTCCCTTTGACCCGCTTCCTTACAGCCAACCCCCCCCCCCCCCATCCCCACTCCACCTTTCCCAACGGATTCCCACCGTTCCACCCTGCAAATCATCCTCCATTTCCCGCTCTTCCCATGCTTGTATCTCGACATGCAATCCCCTTCAATTTCCCTGCCCCCAACCAATTCCCCCTTTCAAGGCCCCCGTTAAGTTACCAAGCAGAAGGTTTGTGCTTTACCTTCCGAACTGTCCGTGTCATGTGCACAACAGTGTCCATAATGTCACTGAATCACGACACCGTTGTGCCTCGTGCCAACCGCTGACTTTGCAACAGCATCGTTGTCGTCATCGTCGTCGTCATCATCTCTGTGACGTCACAAAAGCAGGTCGTTACGTTGCTCGCGTCAAGTGATGTGGGCTGAGTCGCCCCGCCCACATCGCCATTGCGGGTAACGCGGAGGGAGGCTCTCTGCAATTGTGAGTCAAGTTGGAGAAAAAAATGAGTGCGGACGCGCCCACCACGATTGTAACTCACTTCTCATAGGCCTCTATTGTGTTCTCGGTTTTCTCTCCGGCGCCTGCACACGCACACAACAGATGAGATCAGTATTGCACGATTGCGAGAGATATATATACACAACACACACAGTGTCTGCCGAGGTGGTCAGGGGTCAGTTGAGCGAGTATTGCGTTTTCCTTCATCTCCCGAAACGACGCCGATTATAATGTGTGCTCCCTTTTAAGGCCGCTGTTGTTGATTTAATCTCTTGAAGTTGTGTGTTTTTTTTTAATGTAAAGAGCAATCAGCGATGACGGACTGCAGGCAGGGCTTTGCCTGTCGGCTTGCCCACGTGTCTTGTTTGAGCACTTCCGTAAATGTGGGTGGGGTAGCTTCACACGTAAGGCACTTGCAGTACTGAAGTAATCAGTGTCATTTATTAGGTACGAGGCTTTACTACCCGGCTTCGCCCGGGACTTGGATTCTTGTCTTGGATCAATGCACGGGCTACGTGGGGGGGAGGGGGGTGCGTGACGTCACAGGCACACTGCGTGACGCTTCCACATGCGCGGGTCACATGACTGATGTGACGTCACAGCTAACTTGCCGTGCAAAATATATATTATTGCACCCCTCCCCCACCCAAAAAAACACAAGTCTATTTTTTATAATGTTTGCATGGTGTACAGTCTGGAAAGTACCCACATGGCAAATTTAAAGTTTGTTGCATGTCGGGAAGTACGCTAAACATTTTGAACGGACGCACATATTCACAACTTTGCCTTTTATATATACTGTATGGAGATAACCCTGTGAGCCATGCGGCTCTTGACTCGGGTGCAACACGCAACAAAACAAAAACACGAACAAGAAACATCTTAAAGTGACTACACGCAACAGAAAAATCCAGGAAAAAACAGCAAAGTCTTCCAGAAAAAAAACACCGCATTTCAACGCTGTGTGCAAAACTCCCAGTGGGATGCAAGTCAAACAATAACAACCATAAGACATTGTAGATTAAAGCTATCAGTCTAACTCTCTACTACTATAAACAAACACGGCTAAACCAAAACCAAACAAAATATAAAGATCCCCCGTCTATACTTAACAGATTGTTGGGGCAAGTGCCGTTAGCGAGCACCCTAATAATGAAACCTAACACGTATACAACAACAGCCACTAAGTGGCGGTGACATCACCGCGGCGTCTGTGCCAGGCTAGGTGCACTTTTAGGCCACGTGAAGTGTCGAAGGCTCGCTGCTGACAGGAGGTCATAGGGCGGGTCCAGGTGGTGCCATGGGTTGACCGACTGAGATGACCGACTGATGCACCAGTTGTGCCCTGTATTGTGCCCTGTACTGTGCCAACTTGACTTATTCAGACACATACAAAGACAAAGATCCCGCCCCCCGTGTAGCCTTAACAGGCTGTTGGGCCAAGTGCTGTTAGCGAGCAGCACCTATGAAGACAGGCGCGGCACACGAGGGGGTGGGTGGCCAGCACCACGCCCGGACGCCTTTGTCTCCCGAGTGGCGATGTTTTACACACCGCACCAGGAACTAATTTGTGGCTGAGCCCAGGACCCGATTCAGATGTTCGTCACCGTTGTTGGTCGTGAGCGGGAATCGAACCCGGGTCGCCGGGTTCGTAGTGCAGCGTAGCGCTAACCGCTACACCGCCGCTCCCCACTCAAGACACACACAGAAGACACACGTGCACACACGCGCACAAACACACACACAAACACGCGCACGTGCTACCGACATTTACGTGTATGAGAATTTAAACCGTACAGATACGTCGGGCGAATGCGTATCGCTTGCCAGCGTCATTCGCTTTGCTAATTGAAGTTGTGAGCAACACGTGGGGTCTATGATCGCGATGGGGAGAAAGTTTGGCGCGCTTCACGCGCCAGCGCCTCGTTGAACATAATGTGCACACATTACAAAGATTCCCTGTTTAGCCTTCACGGAATTGCCGGGATAAGCGCTGTTTGCAATCACCTAATGAAGGCTGGCACGGCACACACTCGGGGTGAGTGACCTGCACCACGCCCGACCGCCTTTGTTTCCCTCATTGGTTTTTAACACATCGTACCAGGTACTGATTTGTGGCTGAGTCGACCTAAGGGGTGAGGTGGGGAGTGGGGGGAGGGGCAGGACAGGTTTCAGATATTCCATCACTGGTGTTGGTCGTAAGCTGGGAATTGAACTCGGGTCGCTGGGTTTCGTAGCGTAGCGTCGCCCGCTAACGGCGACACGACAGCTCCCCATGAATTATAAACAAGATAATAGAACCAGGCGCTCCATCACGTTCTGGGACACCGCGCACTCGTGCGCTATGAACCCGGTGAGACTCGGTTCGATTCCCGGCCACGGCTAACGTCGGTGGGAGAGGTGACCTCTAATCCGATTTCCCTGAGCCGCTCCCTCTTCACCAACCCCGTACAATGCGTGGTGAAGTATGGCCAAACAACCAGTGCCAGATTATCCTGTAGTAGCTACGGGCCCCGCACTTTCAAGGGCCCCGCGCTAAATGCTTTCAAGCTATCAATTCCGGTTCAGTGACGCTGCACTTGCTCTATTACTATAGTACTATACTGCCTTCAACTTTTATGAACGACTGGGTATTTAAGGTTAGCGATTTGTCGCATTATCTGACTGTATAGCAAATGAAAAATATAATTAATTTACTGTGCAAGTAATTTTTTTTTAGTGTTTTAATATTTAAGTGTTTATTTATTTATTTAGGACAGCCTTAATAACATATACTACAGGCCCCGCACTAAGCTTAATCCGGCACTGCAAACAACCCAGACGATCCACACGGCATGGAGAGGCCTGTAACCCGGCACTGGAGAGGCTGACGTTAGTTCGAGCGCTCGACTGACGCATTCAGAAGCTCGTTGTTTTCAGTCGAGGAATTACTCAGCCCCGTCATTTCTTCCGTGCTTGTAATAAATCGGGTACCACTGCTGTGGGCAGTCTCGTCGTGCTCGTGCTCATGCCAGCACGTTGCATTTGACGGCCAATCAACAACAACAACAACCGTCGTTTGCCAAAACGTGGCAGTGACGTCACAACGGCGCTTGTGCCAGGCTAGGTGCACCTCGAAAGCCGCGCGCACACACACACACGGACGTACACGTGTTACGTACCGCTGCCATTTAAACCCAATTAAGTTAAAATATCCGCTGTGCGGATATTGCCATGGTTGAGACATCTGCGTAGGTTAAATAAGCGAGTACAAATTTAGTTTTCAATTACACTCGAGAGCTCAGAGCAATAATGACTGCAATTACAACTACACAATCTAGGCTGAGCTCTCTCTCTCTCCCTGATCTAGTGTAGCAGGCAATGTTTACCAGCCTGTGATAAAACCGTATTGGGATGCGCCAGATCTCATCAAGACTGGAGCTTGACAGGTCTCTGATATCACTGGCCACTAATGTTGTACATGAGCGGGATATCATATTTGAATCGACCGGGTTCATTGGGGCTGCCGTGGTGGCTAGGAGATGTTAACTCCCTCGCCTGGTATGCAGGAGGTCGTGGGTTCGATCTCGACCCTGACTCCTGTTGTATATTTGGAGTTTGAATGTCTCTCTCTCTCTCTCCCCGTGGTCCCGTGGTTTTTTTTTTCAAGTCCTCTGGTTTTTCCCTCCACATTTACAAAAAACATGCGTTTAGACTATTTGGCTGTTATAAATGTCCGCGTGATAAGTCACTCCGTTGACATGTCATTTGTGACCAAGGCACGTATTACAAAAAAGTATCTCAGTGGGCTTTATCTGGTTAAATAAAATAGTTTAGTTTTTAGTTTATTGCGCCATGCGCTAACTGCTGCACCATCGATCCACATGAAATGTATACTCTGAACCTCCCTTGCCAGTACAGTATATATGAAATAATTAAAATAGATCCAAAGTCTAAAAGCTTAAGCCAGCAAACTAAATTTGTACCATATTCTTGGTTCTTTTGGTAAAGTCACGTAGAAGGGAAACAATAAAATAATAAAAATATAAAACAATAAAATTCTCACGACGTTTCGACTGCAACACAAGCAAGCAAGTTTATATTTTTTTTATTTTATTGTTTCCCTTCTACGTGACTTTTCCTGAAAGAACCAAGAATATGAATCCCTGCAGTTACGAAAGTTTTAAATCGAAATTTAAATACAAATTTAAATTTGTACCGTGTCTCTGCATTAAGAATAAAGACAATTAAATCCAACATCTTATTCACTTGCCCGACCAATATCAACCAAGCAATATGAGATGTAAACAAGCAGACTCTAGATCGAGTTTCCATATTCTGGGTCTCATCAGCGCAGTCAGGCTTGCTTAACGAATGCCGCTGGCTGTGCAGATGAATGAGCACTCACAAACCTCACTGCCGATGAGACCCGGAAGGTCTAAACTGGTCGAGAGTTTGCTTGGCTGAAAGAAATGCTGCCGCTCAATTTGCTTTTGGAAACATCGAAAAGGTCGATGACTAAATGTCTTTTACAATCACACTTAGCATTAACAGAAAAAATGTCCACATCTGATTGGGACCTTGTAGATAACATGACTGCTTCTTCTGCCGCGACAATGTCAACCAAATGTAAAGTTATCCTGATTGCTAAATTCAACATCCTGTCAAAAAAGAAGCCAGATCCACACATTAAAAGTTAGATGTTAACAAGATTGTAATCAATCAGAGTAACAGCCCAATTTCCGATAGCCTAAAATCGCTTCTAGCTAGAGGGCTGAACTTTGCAGTCACCCCCAAACACATCCCACTGGATGATATTGCCCAGGATGACGTAGCCCTCAAAGGTTTAGGTCACATCCCAGCAGACGTGGCAAGATCTGAAATCGCCGCCATCCTCAAAAACACTAAGAGACCCATTAGTAACATCAGTAGGGGCGAGCGCTGTGAACTTGCTCAATTGGAAAGAGAGATGACATTGTCATACTTTCAGCCGACAAGGGCAATGCCACGGTCATCATGGATAAAGCCACATACAACAACAAAATCCATCAACTCACCTACCTACAAACTGGCCCGATTTCTGTCTGAGACCCTGCTTCCATTC